TACAAATCTACATTATTTTGGAACTAAAAAACAAAACAAAACACAGTTTAAAAATACACCATCCTGAAACCAGACTAATGTTGTAACATGTAATCTAGTCCAGCAACTCCTACACTGTATGACTTACTGGTTTTTAAAACAATGTTTAAGTACTAAATTAGTGCTAATTTTTACATATTTAAAAAAATTAAAATATACACTACCCCTTGATGCTTTCACATAAGTTTCAGCTTTCCTGACCCAGTCACAGGTGCTTGAGGACAGGACCACCCCCGTCCCCTAATATAGACCCCCGGGCCTATTAGAATTTTTTCACATTAATTTTAATATATATGGATGACACATTTGTGATATAATCTATCCTATCAATTTAGAAAATTTGCTTAAACCAAAATTTTATAAAAAATTTCTAACCACTCTCTGTAGTTGATTTTTATATATAGAATGTAGGGTAGATTTTATAGAACATTTGTTTTAAGTAATTTTTCGATTTGTTAACGTTGGTATAGATCTTATCACAAATATGTCAATGGAAGATTATTTATAAGAAATCGAAAAAGCCCAGGGGTCTATATAAAAAAGGGGGGGGGGGTCCTGTCGTCAAGCACCTGTGGACCCAGTGGTTCCTGAGAAAATTTTAAGTTTTTTCCTATATATTTCCATGTAAAACTTGGATTCTAAATCATGGCCCCTTTCTACCCCTGGGGTCATAAATTGAACAATTTAGAATCTACACTACCCCTGATGCTTTCACACAAGTTTTTCTAATAAAAATTAGATAATATAGAATTTGCACTACCTTAGGATGCTTCCACATAAGTTTCAGGTTTTCTGGTCCAGTGGTTCTTCGACTTGAGAAGAAGATTTTTAAAGTTTTTTTTTTCCTATATATTTCTATGTAAAACTTTGATTCCTTAGTGTGGCCCGGCCCAACCAGGGGGGTCATGATTTGAACAATTTAGAATCTACACTAATCCCAAGATGTTTCCACAGTTTTTACTTTTTGGCCCAGTGGTTCTTGAATTTTTTTTCAAGACCCCACGCTATTTTTGTCTCTTCTTGAATATCTCCCTTTGTAGGGAACTTGGCCCTTCATTTTATCAATTCAAACTCCCCTTCACCCAGGGATGCTTTGTACCAAGTTTGGTTAAAATTGACCCAGAGGTACTTGAGAAGAAGTCGAAATTGTGAAAATATTAGTTGGACAAACAACGGACAAAATGACATTAAAAAAGCTCACTTGAGCATAAAAACTAGGTTTTCAAAAAATACAAAAATATGCATTGGCTAAGTTTAAGTTAGATTTATTGTCATACATTTAGGCCTTGTACATGTACATGTAGTATATTTTAGTTTATACATGTATGCATCAGATAGAAATTTGAAATGTTCATCACACATTTCTTTACTCAGAATTTACAGTCCAAGGAGTGGGAAAATGTTTGGAAAGAATATTCATTAAATAAATTCTTGGAAGTCTTAATTCTTTTTTTTACAAATACCATGGAGAGAGATGGCTCAGAAAAAAACATAAAAGTTTCTGATATTATTTCTTACTCATTTGCAGTATTGTTGAAAAACCACACAACATGTCAATGTTTGTTTCAGTGCCGTTTTGAGCGTGGCTATATTTTATGCAGCAACACAATTTTAAGCTTTACAGCTTACTGAACAACTATTTGTTGTCTAATTCATCCTTAGATCTCACTTAAAACACCCTTATGAAGCAGGTCAAGGTCTTTTGGGAAAACAACTTCAGAATCTTGTAGAATCAATCAAGAGAGGTACTGTTACTCTGAAAATATGAAAAAGGCAAAATCAATGAAGAAAAGCATTTAATAGCCCCATGAAATATACCTGTAAAACCTGGGATAATAATTGTTCATTATTTAGTATATTAAAAAAAACAACTACAAAAGCAGAAAAAAAGATCAACAATCCCCATGAAACAAGGGCACTGCAAGGCGGAGCATCCCCTCGTAAAGAACATTTTAAGATTATCACTCTAAAAATCAAGGTAATACATGTATTCGATATTGATCCTGATGCAAATTTTGATGTAAATAACACATGTTTACAGTCATGTGAAGCAAAATGATACATTTAAAAAAAATTATTGTGATATAAATGAGTAAAAATTGCCACTTACTTAATAGATTTATGGTGGTCAGAATATATTCACCCATAAAAATTTAAGCATTCTTCATTTCCTCTGCTTGCAATCTGTGTCTGTTGTTGAGATTAGAGTGATTTCTGACATACCTGGAGATTACATGAACAAGTGTTCATCTGTACATGATGTAAAAATTTAACATCCTTATTATACATTCTTGGATATACAAAAAAGTAAATAATACATCTCAATACTATGATCAAGTCTTTAAAATGTTGAGAAACTCTCAGGCCCCTTTTGTGGGAAGGAATTTCAGTTTTGGGGACAGATCTTAGTTGAGCAGATAAAAAAAAAGGAAAAGAAAAACATGAGTTTTAAATAATATTTATTTAAGGGAAACATTAAAGCAAAGGTAGTTTCTAATGTTCGAATAGCACATACAAGTATTACATTTGATGGGGGAAGGGGGGGGGGGTCCACAACATATACAGTGTACCCATTTACCGTAGAAAATGTACACTAAAAGTTGCCCCCCCCCCCAACCGGCCCCTCCTACACAAAATACTAGTAGTATTTTTCTACAGATTGTTCTGACAATTTCCTTCCCTTTTTTATTTGCTTGTCTTCAAGTTTTTTTTCCCAGATAACTTGTCCTACACTTACATACCCCCCACATCTTTTAAAACGAAACGAGCCTGTATACTTGCTAATTTTCCCTCCTTGCTCACCAGTTCCTAAAGGCCTGAATCTACAATGTTTATCAAGATAAAAGGAGCAAGTTTTCGACAAGAGAACATTTTTATTCAGAATTAATAATGTTGTACCGACAACGACATGATGTAAACATCATGATGCATGGTCTCATGTTATACGTGTTATCTTTTTAATTAATTTCTCTTTATAGCTGCAAAAAACCATCATAGATATCCACCTTGTGTAAATTATTATTGACGTGCAGGCTATAAATAGTAAAATATACAATATATTAGCAATATTTACCCCAAAGTCTGCACTGAAAACACTGCAGCTAATACGACCGGAAGTTTTCTATGCCTCCCAGTGAGGGCGCTGTGAAAACATGAAGATATTTTGGCGCGAAAATGAGTCAGCGGTCCCTCTCTTATACGTCTCTGGTAAATATACATCAGTTTGTAAATATGCACAATTTTTGTTGCAGCTGAGAAAACAAAAGTGGCAGAAAAAGCAGACAGTCTGCAGACAACTGTAAATCAATTGGAGAAAGATTTACAACAAAGAATTAGTAAGTTTCTACAAGTTGCTCATAATGACAATTAAAGGCCGAGGTTTTCAACCGGTCAGTTTTCCTCAGGTAAGTTTGGTGTGGGGTGGAGCTTAATCGAAGCCGACTGAGAAGCCCCGAGGGAATGACGCTGGCTTGTGTGTAGTTTCTTATATACACAGTATGTTACCTGAGTGTATTACCTGAGTGTATTACCTGTATGCATTTTCCTAAACGACATTGTAAAACGAAGCCATTCCTTCATGTGTAGCTCATGAATTGAAATGCATGAAATAAAGCATGTTTTTGTTTCTGACAGAATCCTTCTCAAATGCTTTCTTTTAAAATTAATATTTTTAATAAACTGTGTGTTTCTTAATCAATCCTATAACGAAAATACATTTAGCACCAAAATCTGTCGTTGCAAGCTTGTTGTAAGAAGAAGTGAAGATCACAAACAAGTCTCTCGGTAAATAACAATTAAACTTAGAAACAATGTGTTGAAATAGAAATATAATGTATAAATATAAAATATTTTTAAGATAAACCCTTCTTGATATTTCCATAAAGCATGTTCTGTAAAAATGGCCAGGGCTTAATAAGGACTGAGCATGATTCCCCGACAGCTATGGGTGAAATAGTAATGGAATCACCTGCATCGTACTTTTTTCTTTCTTTGGATTCATAATTTCAAATATTAAATGTAAAGCAAATGTTATAATCCAAGTAATTTCTCTTCTAAAACTGAATATTATACCATTACTTTGTCACCACATTACATGTCTCGAAGAAAAGCGACATGCACAGGTTTGTCTTATAATAAATATAAATTTTCACTTGATACCTGAACAATGTAACAATGTTGTCATACTTGTTTTAAAAAATATTTTTATTTAATTCCATGAAACTAGTTTCAAATGCAGGTCAGTTTATTTTGTTAATTATGGAGGAATAATCGTTCGTTATTTGACCTGTTAACACTGAAACTAAAATTATCGATTGTAATTGTGTTATGAAATCCCCCCTTTTTAAATTAAAATTATAATATATCAGCATGATTTTTCCTATCATTTATTTAATTATTTGATAGATTGATCGCTTTTATTGCTTCTTTATCATGTTGGCATATATGCAGTAGGCATCAAAAGCTTGAATGTTAATTCAATGGTCGATACAATCTGCAGACAAGGTACACAAGATATACAGAACTACAGAAAAACTAAATGTCAATCAAATTGAAGTACAGCAAAACTTGTTTAGTACGAACACGGATATTGCGAATTTACGGATATAGCGAAGTCATCTTGGATTCCCATCTATATAATTTAAGTGAATTTCTTATACAGTTATAACGAATTACGAATATAGCGAAGTAATTTCATAGGTCCCCTTGCCTTCGTTATAACCGAGTTTTGCTGTATATCCAATCCCAGGCTTAATTTCAAATGATTGACGGGTTCTAAGACCAGGTAAATTTGAAGGAGGTGCTTATTTCCTCCCCCTGTAAGGGTGTATTTACTACTACCTGTGCCTGAATGCATAAAAATGGATGTTTCCTAGCCAAGTGCAATTTAAATGATAATATAAAAGAAACAATGCCATTCCACCTGGATATATATATTCTATGATAATGTTATTGTTTTACAGATGAAGTTACATATCTTCAACAGTTTGTAATGTTTAAGGATCTTTATGACCAGAGAAATCAGGAGGCCCATAGTTTAGAACAAGATCTCAACAGGAAAGACACTACTATCCTAGAACAGCAAGACCAAATCAGCAGCTTGAATGGCAAGCTCTCTCTCTCTCTCCCTCCCCTCTCCCTCTCTTAATGTTATAAATTGTACAAAGGTTTTTCTGGGTTAAGGCTTTAACAGATTGTTAACAAAACCAGTATTATACGAGGGGGGTATACTGTTTTACCTATGTGTGTCTGTCTGTCTGTGTGTCTGTCCGTTACAAATTTTCGTCACAGATTTCTCAGCAACTACTTGTAGATGCTTAAAATTTTAACACAATCTTCTCTGAAACATGCCATACAGTGGGATACATTTTTGTTCAAATCCGATGTCAACTTCCTGTTTGTCCGTGCATCTGTCCGTTTCATACATAACAAATTTTCGTCACAGTTTTCTCAGCAACTACTCATCACAGATGCTTGAATTTTAACACAGTCTTCTCTGAGGCATGTCATAAGTTGGAATTCATTTTTGTTTAAATCTGATGTCAACTTCCTGTTTGTCTGTGCGTCTGTCCGTTTCACACATAACAAATTTTCATCGCAGTTTTCTCAGCAACTACTTTTTGTAGATGCTTGAAATTTTAACACAATCTTCTCTGAGGCATGCTATAAGGTGGGATACATTTTTGTTCAAATCCGATGTCAACTTCCTGTTTGTTTGTGTGTCAGTCCATTTCATACATAACAAATTTTTCGTCGCAGTTTTCTCAGCAACTACTTATTGTAGATGCTTGAAATTTTAAAATAATCTTTTCTGAGGCATGCTTTAGGGTGGGATACATTTTTGTTCAAATCCGATGTCAACTTCCTGTTTGTCTGTGCATCTGTCCATTTCATACATAACAAATTTTCGTCGCAGTTTTCTCAACAATTACTCATCACAGTTGCTTGAAATTTTAACACAATCTTCTCTGAGGCATGTTTTACGTTGGGATTCATTTTTGTTCAAATCCGATGTCAACTTCCTATTTGTCTGTGCGTCTGTCCATTTCATACATAACAAATTTTCGTCGCAGTTTTCTCAGCAACTACGAGGGTTGTCCCGTAAAATCGTGGACAAGTTGTCTAGTGTGTAAAATGAACATCACCGCATTCTGAAATTTTCACTATTATTTAGTACATATTTTAGTAATATACACAACAAATTTTAGATAAATATATGAATAAATAAACAAATTATGAGATTTTATGCCATGTATTGTATCACCTTACGGCACATGGATTATAACTTCAAAGTGTTTAAAACAGCAACACGTTTTATCTATGCTGAAAATGAAGTTGGGTGAGTCCGACTTAAATTTAAGAATTTCATTGATACACATTCTTTAGTCTCCAAAAACAGCTGCAGAACCAATTGGCACCCTCATGCGATCTTCTGAAGATTTATTCGTAAGTTACGGACATTCAATTCTCACCATAGAAAATATATCGGTGGTCTACTGTGACAGTGTCTTTTGCTATTACATTAGGAGTTTATGTTTTGTACTCCCCAGGGACTTGATAAAAAAAAACTTTGCTAAGAAAAGTCCTATTTCATTTGTATACTTAAGATATGGTGATATTTTTATAATCTTTTTTCTTCTATGGTCATTTCAAGTCTCTTAAGGTGTCATTACAACATTAAATAAAACTGAAATGTTCTACGGTGCGCCATACCATCATGAAACGTCGCCATTTTTCGTGTGTTGTGTTTACCACTTTCCCATTTCGAATGATCGAGAAACTGCAAAATAAGCAAATGCCTTAAAATTTTTACAAAGACTACCAAATTGATTGTGGAATTAAATTAGGATAATTTTAATCCAAATCTTATGTATTTAAAACTTTTATTTTGAATTCAAACTTGTGTATTCTTTAATAAAACCTTGGTTTTCTGACTGTGCGCCGTAGGACAATACCTCGTGCACATTCAAGCATAATAAAATCTTAATTTTTGCCTATATTTTATCAAAAAAAAATTTCATGCACTTAAATATGATAAAAAATCATTTACTGAAATTTTCAGCTTAGTTTGCCCATTACTTTTCGAGAAAAACGCTTTGTCCTCGATTTTACGGAACAACATTTGTACTTATTGTAGATGCTTGAAATTTGAACATAATCTTTTCTGAGGCATGTCATACGTTAGGATCCATTTTTGTTCAAATCCGATGTCAACTTCCTGTTTGTCAATGCATCTGTCCGTTTCACACATAACAGATTTTTGTCGCAGTTTTCTCAGCAACTACTCATCACAGATGCTTGAAATTTTTACATAATCTTTTCTAAGGCATGCCATATGGTGGGAAACATTTTTGTTCAAATCCAGTGTCAACTTCCTGTTTGTCTGTGTGTCTGTCCCTTTCATATATAACAATTTTTCATCGCAGTTTTCTCAGAACTACTCATTACAGATGCTTGATATTTTAACACAATCTTCTCTGAGGCATGCCATATGGTTTGATATATTTTTGTTCAAATTCGATGTCAACTTCCTGTTTGTCTGTGCGTCTGTCCGTTTCATATGTATATAACAAAACTTCATTGCAGTTTTCTCAGCAATTACTCATCAGTAGATGCTTGAAATTTTAACACAATCTTCTCTGAGGCATGCCATATGGTGGGATACATTTTTGATTAAATTCAATGTCAACTTCCTGTTTGTCTGTGCGTCTGTTCGTTTCATATGTATATAACAAAACTTCATTGCAGTTTTCTCAGCAATTACTCATCAGAGATGCTTGAAATTTTAACACAATCTTCCCTAAGGCATGCCATATGGTAGGATACATTTTGTTTAAATTCGATGTCAACTTCCTGTTTGTCTGTGTGTCTGTCCATTTCATACATAACAAATTTTTCGTCGCAGTTTTCTCATTTAATAACTATTCATAGCAGATGCTTAATTTTAGTACACTCTTTGTTGAGGCATGCCATATGGTGGGATTAATTTCGATATGAATCTCATGTCGACTTCAAATTTTTCTGTGCATCTGCCTGTAATTGAACTTGTGTATATTAATATGATATTGTTTATTTACATCAGAGCGGGGGTATTACTAGTGAGCATTGGCTCACAGATTTCTTGTTTAAAATGTCATCTATATTCACTGGCAATTTTACTCTGCACAGATAAGATCATGGCCTTGTCAAAACGGATTCAGGAGACACCCCTATCCATTCACCAGGCCGAAACTCGCTACCAAAAACAGCTACAAGAAATGGAAGAAAATATGAGGGCCCTCTATGGTAATTATGTAAAGGAAATGTTATGTTAATGAATCAGTTTGAACAAATTTGATAATTTCTCAGAAGTACAATTTAAAATCTATACATTGTACCAGGGTACTAAGAAGTATGGCACTTAATGATCAAAATAATTTTATTTTATTGAAGTGATTTCAAATGTCAATTTTTTGTCTGAAATATACTCCAAGTATATCCATTGTAATATAATTTTTGTCAAAGGCAATATGTTATAAGAAGACTCTCCTCAGTGACTTATCTGCTATCTGGTGTTTAAAACATAAAATTTTGGCATGTATGCTTATTACAAAGTTTGGGGGGGTATATAGGAATCACCTTGTCTGTCTATCCATCTGTCCGTCCGTCCGTCTGTCCGTCCGTCGAGCTGTCTAGATGTCCATCTGTCTAGCTGTCTGTGCAAACGTGTCCGGTCCATATCTTTCTTATAGAGGAACATTAGAATCTACTACTCCACACAAAGATTGCCCATGACCTAAGGGTGTGTCATGACCTTGACCCAAGGTCATTTGAGGAAGTTCAAGGTCACTGGAAGAAAAAATTCATAATTCGTGTCCGGTCCATATCTTTCCTATGGATAAACTTGGTAAGTTCTAATTTCACACAAAGGTTGTAAATGACCTAAGGGTGTGTCATGACCTTGACTCAAGGTCATTTTGGGAAGTTCAAGGTCACTGGAAGAAAAATTTCATAAACTGTGTCCGATCTATATCTTTTTTATGGATAAACTTGCAAGTTCAAGGTCACTGACAGAAAAAGTTCATAATTCATATTAGGCTGCACCGTTGTTTCATTTATAAAATATATAATGAGCAATTACATCTGTACTAAAAATGTTTTAGCATTTCTCTCTTCTCTTAGATCCATAAAATATTCATGAATTTTTACTTCTAAAAAACCCAGCGGGGGGTATTTTGTCCCGTTTGGACAGTTCTAGTTACCACTGTTATTCTAAAGAGTTCATTTACATGATTATTTTATTAGGTCACCCGAGTCACTCAGATGACCTATTGCTATCCTTTTTTGTCTGTCGTTGTGCGTCATGTGTTAACATTTGAACATTTCAACTTCTTCTCTGAAACCACTGAACCAATTTCAACCAAATTTGGTATACAGCATCTATCGGTGGAGAAGAACAAAAATTGTGAAATTATGGTCCCTGCCCCCCTGGGGCCTGAGTGATGGGGCCAAAACAAGTAAAATTAATGAAATCTTTAAAACTCTTCTTCTTTACTCCTGGACATCAAGAGGTCAAACTGTTGGCATGAATGTAATGAGTCCTCTACTGAAATTGTGAAATTCATGGCCCCAGGGTCAGGGGTTTTAGTGTTAGGGTGGGGCTATATAGACTATATAATGATGCATTGTTTCTTTGAAAATCTACTTCTCTGTTCCTGGGTATTAAATAAACCAACTACATGTGAGTACATAGTTATACACTGTATTGAGCAAGAGTGCCTCTTCCAGAATTGTGAATTTTATGGCCCCAGGGTCAGGGGTTCTGGTGTTAGGGGTAGGTCTCTATTGATTATGTAGTGAAAATACATTAAATCTTTGAAAATCTTCTTCTCTGCTCCTGGTTATTGAATAAACTAACTAAGTACATTCTTCTTCTCTACTCCTGTTTATTGAATAAACTAACTAAGTACATAGTTAAATTGAGCAAGAGTGCCTCTTCCAAAATTATGAATTTTATGGCCCCAGGATCAGGGGTTCTCGTGTTAGGGCAGGGCTCTATAGATTATTTTATGAAAATGCAATAATTCTTTGAAAATCTTCTTGTCTGCTTTGGGATATTAAATAAAGTAACTTAGTATATAATTATAATGATCAAGAGTGCCTCAACCAAATTTGTGAATTTTATGGCCCCTGTGTCAGGTTTTTGCCATTTGGTGAAGGGGGGGGGGCTCTTTTGATTATCATAGTGAAAATACATTAATTATTTGAAAATCTTTTCCTTTGCTTCTGAATATTATGCCAATGATTTAAGTATATATATTAATGATGAAGAAGGGTGCTTCAAGCAAAATGGTTAATTTCATGCCCCCTGGGTCAGGGGTATGGGGCAGGGGTACATAGTCTGAAAATGAATTAATGCTTTGAAATCTGCTCTTTGGTATTAATCAACCATTTATGGTGAAATAAAATTTATGATAAAATTTTCAAAATTTTGAAATATGTGGTCCCAGGTTCAGTGGTACCTTTGGGATGGGATGCACAACTGGATATAAAATGGAAGTGCATTTTCTGTTTGTTCATACTCTGATCTACCTCTGAGTATTAAGTAACTAGAGTAAGCATGCTAAGTGTATACTTATGATAAGCAATGGTGCCTCTTTCGAAATTGTGAATTTCATGGCCTCTAGTTTAAAACACAAACCAAATTCAATTGTTGGAAACATGTTACATGACCTATATATGCCTCTTTTATGTTGTTTATGACAAATGAATTCTCAAGTGCTAAATCTAAAATGAATATATTCATTTTTGTCAATGACAATTTTTGACTGAAGTCTAAGACTGTTTCATGATCTTGGACCAGGGTTCATTTTTGGAGTAGCCCAGCTTGAATAACCAACATAATGCATAATTTTAGGTTTTAATTACTGTATGTAAATTATTTGAATTTCCCCTATGTTAGTGCTTTAACTTATATTTTTGCTAACCTGAGCCAAATGCTTATAAGTCATACAAAGAAATTTTTATTAACAAGGCCCAATCTACTTGATCTGTGCATACGTTTTTAACATAATGTACACTCAGGCACGTCACAGTACCCTTGACTGCCAACACAATTGAATACAGTAACATCACAATTAAAATGACGTCAAATTGAGCTAAAATGTTTCAACGATCTTGCATACCTGTTAGCTCTATAGACTGTGCTTGTTGAAAGCTGGCTGATTCTGGCATTTCTTTTTAGCTCACCTGAGCCGAAGGCTCAAGTGAGCTTTTCTGATCAAAATTTGTCCGTCGTCTGTCGTTGTTGTCGTCGTGGTTGTCGTCATCGTAAACTTTTCACATTTTCATTTTCTTCTCAAGAACCACTGGGCCAATTTCAACCAAACTTGCTACAAAGTATCCTTGCCTCTCTGTAAAGGACTACAATAAGATGGTAGAAGGGCACAGGTCCCCTGGTGGCCACATTTGTATTTAATCTGTTGTGCCACCCCTCTACATCATTGTTGGTCCGGATGGCTGTCATGAAGACACTCCAGTGATGGATTTCATAGATTGGACTACGAATCCATGTTCTATATACGTAGTCCATTACGGGAGCTAAGACCTCAGTAGCACGGCCATCCAGACGGTGGAAAGTATCCTTGATATGTTCCGGTGGGAGGAATGGCAAGGCGAGTAGCTGATGGACGAACTTAAAGACTTTGTCCTTTCTGTTGTACGCTGTCTGTAAGAGTTAATGAATAAAATTTGTCAATCAACTCTGAAATACTTGTAATAGTTTACTTTCATTTTCAATAATTAAATATTGCATCACACTTGAAATAAAGTTCCTTAATTACTGATTTTTTATCTTTACAATAAGATTAAAATCAGCTCAATTTACCATGATTGCATGGGCATTCTCTCAGAAAATGATAAAATATTGCTAAATTAATAGTAATTTCTTTTACCTGTAAACCATGTTCCTGGACCTTTCGGAACACAGCCTGTGTCCAGTGAAAAGCACTACCCTGGATTGGCATGCGAGGGAACCGCTCCTTAAGAGCCTGCCAAAGTGCAGCTTCAAAATCAGCCACAAATCCCTCCAACGAGATGTGTTCTGGAAGCTTTCTGTCTATGAACCTCAGAACCTGAAGTAAACAACATTCATACATAAATTAAAAACGAGATTGAATTGAAAAATTACTTATAGCATAAAAAAATCCAGAAATAAAGGTAGATTAAAGAATTGTCAAGAAATGATTAAAAATTTAAAAAATCAAAAATAAAATTCACCTGGTAGTAGTCTTCTTTCCTCTTTCCAGACATAATTACAAACACCAAGGGGATTTGCTTGATGTGGCTACCAGACTTAACAAAGCCGTGAATGGAAAAGAGTTGCTTCCAAGGATTGTTGACACATCGAAATGTCCCATCCATATACCATGTCTTCGCCTTAGATAATAGTTGAAGCTGTCTATCTGTATAAAATATGAGATGTCGCTTGTCGTCCACTATTAAATCTTTACGCAAAAATCCTTGCGCATGACATTCCAAGAAATCCAGATCCAGCGCAATAATTGTTAATAATGTTAATACTACCATATACATATATGTACATGTACACAAAGTTATATGTTGACATTTTGTTTCAGAATTCTTCAGATTTAATAAAAAACAAACCTCATCTTGAAGATGAGGTATCCGGGGTTTGGCCCGCTGTCAGGTGGTGCTTCCGGGTCGGCATGGGCCCTGATAGCAGCATTAACTATGGTTGAAGAGCACTGACCAAAAATTGCATCTTTAGCATGCTGTCTGACCTGCCATAAGAAAAAAGTTTATTTTAATATAGAAATCTTGAATGCAACAAACAGTTTGTCGGTACATTAGTACACCGTAATATCGGCCCTATTTATGTGAAACACCTATAAAAAGTTAAACCTCAGCTTGAATTTTGACTGCAATGTGGGATCCTGGATGAACATGCAGTTTCTGTCCAGGTTTATACGTTATGCCATCCTGGATGACAGTTGCGGGGCAGTTGACAGTCTTTGATCTTTTTGACCACTAAAATTAATGCAATCTTTAAAAATCTTCTTCTTTACTCCTGGACATCAAGCAGTCAAACTGTTTGCATGATTGTAATCAGCAATGAGTCCTCTAACAAAATTGTGAAATTCATGGCCCTGGGGTCAGGGGTTCTAGCTCTAGGGCGGGGCTAAATAAGTAGGTAGTGAAAATGCATTATTTCTTTAAAAATCTTCTTCTCTGCTCCTGGGTATTAAATAAACCAACTAAGTACATAGTTATGATGAGCAAGAGTGCCTCTACCAAAATTGTGAATTTTATGGCCCCGGGGTCAGGGGTTCTGGTGTTAGGGCGGGGCTCTATTGATTATATAGTGAAAATACATGAATTCTTTGAAAATCATCTTCTCTGCTCCTGGGTATTAAATAAACTAACTAAGTACATACTTATGATGAGCAAGAGTGCCTCTACCAAAATTGTGAATTTTATGGCCCGAGGGTCAGGGGTTCTTGTTTTAGGGTGGGGCTCTAATGATTATATAGTGAAATGCATGAATTCTTTGAACATCTTATCCTTTGCTCCTGGTTAATATACTAATGATCTAATTACATATTTAAGGCCAGGATTTATTTTATTTTCAGTTTTACAAACCCTCCGCTCAAGGTTTTCAGTTTTCAGAAAAAAACAAAACAATTTTTTTTCTTTCCGATGTCAAATTTGAGTCGGAATCGAGATTTCAAATTTACGAACTCGCACTTCCGGCTTTAAGATGAAACGGCGGATAAATAAAGCTAGAACTGAGAAGATACCTTGGTTTAGTGTAAAATTCATTGATACGAGTGCCATTCAAAACGTTTCACCCGTTCAAAGGACAAATAAAATGCTTACGACTTTGTTGCACAATGACATGCTGGTGAGATAATTATGTATTCGCTTCAAAAGTATCTGTCTGTAAATTATTTTCCTCCCCCAGGTTTTAAACTGCCCGTGGTAGCTATTGGTAGGATTTCATTTGTCATACCGGCGTACGCCGAATGCGCCGCTTGACCTTTCGTAACCTGGCTTGTTACTTCATTTGACCGGGGAAGGTTCGCCGGCGTACGCCGAATGCGCCGGTCTGAAATGACCGGCGAGGAAATCGCCGGTCTTAGAAATATGGCGGGAAGAGAAAACAACTGTGAAAATGCAGACAATTTTTACCAAATCGACACGTTCTTTTTTTGTTTGCATATTTTGAGCAAATCTCTATTCATATATTTAAAATTTGTTTTTATTTTCTGAAAAATAAAAATTTTTCATGAGGTTCATGGTTTTTTTTAAAATTGAATTTCGAATTATTCTCCTAAGACATAATGTAAAAAGTGATAAAACTTAATTAATTGATTATCATTTAGCGTAATTATTCATTTTTTAAAAATGTTTTCGCCGGTTTACTTCATTTGCCTCTTAGCCGTTTTACGCCGGTCATCTGACCGGCGCAATTCGGCGTACGCCGATCAGTGACAAATGAAACTGGCCCATTGCATATTGCCAGTGACATTGTTTAGGTCTCTGTTATAGCTTACAGTCTAAGCATCATTCAACAGAAAATGTTGCTTATGCATCAGATGTAATGAATAAAACTATGGGAGAAATTAAGTCCATTTGAGGAAGAAATAAACAATAACCTGAAGAAATAAAAAAAAAATCAACTATTAAAAGGCAAGAATAATTATACAAATATATACAGGCATGTAGTATCATCTGTATCAGCCAGAAAAATTATATATTTTACACTTAATTGAAAAAAAATGTTCACCCTATTCCTCAATACTCCCTGTCTATTTTATGATAGGAATTAAAATTTTAGGCATCAAGTAAATTTTAAAACAATGTCTACACATTCACCTAACACTGTAACACATATTCAAAAAATGAAGATATATTGAAAGACTTTTAAAGAATTGATTTTTGACCAACATCACAAAATTTATATAACTGGCCCAGACTGGCAGATGATGAAATAAGCAATTAAATGTTCTACTTTCCTATTGTAAGCATTATGTGTCCAGTGGTAAGGGGCCTATTAGAATAGCCTAAAAAAAAATGAACAATTGTTAATAATTGATTTATCAAAAAAAAATTTTTATTTCCTTCTCCTTCGGGACGTTTTTATTCTCATGTTCATATCTAAACCTAAACATAAAAAAAAAAATGCTGGCCTTATAATGAAGAAAGGGGCCTCTTTCAAAATAGATAATTTCAGGGCCGCTGGGTCAGGGGTACCAGGGAGGTACTTTGACTAAAAATTAATTAATGCTTTGAAATCTGCACTTTGATAAGCAATGGTGCCTCCTTCAAAATTTGTGAATTTCATGGCTTTTGGATTAAAACACGAGCCAAATACAATCGCTGGAAAGTTGTTACATGATACTCAGGTGACCTATAAGGCCTGTGGGCCTCTTGTTTCTTAAAAACGCATCGTTAAAAATGACATCAATTAATTCTAAAAAGAAAATAAGTATATGAAATGTCACCAAAACACATTAACAAAAAAAAAAGATTCAAACAATAAAAGGAATGTTAACCGAATTCTTTTACTTTCAAACAAGTGTCTGTAAATTAGAAAAGTCAAATACGTGTAGTGATGTACATGTATTTCAATTAAATAACCGTTTTTTCTCTTTAAAGGCAAATTTATTAATCAACAAAGTAGTCACAAGAAAAATATTAAGAAAAAATGAATTAATAACACGTGTTGATTTATTATAGAAAGGTGCCGAATTAACCAGAATCTAATGCCGAATTTACCAGATTCTGGTGCCGAGTTCACTAGATGCCGAATTCACTTTCACTAGGTGCTGAATTTACTTGTACCCTCAGGTAATGTAGATTCAAGTATGTTCAAATCATGACCCCAGAGGGTAGGGTGGGGCCAAAATGGCTGATCAAATTTTTACATTAGGAATATATAGGAAAAATCTTTAAAAATCTTCTTCTCAAGAACCACTGGGCCAGGAAAGATGAAACTCATGCGGAATCATCCTCAGGTAGTGTAGATTGAAGTTTGTTCAAATCATGACCCCCCGGGGTAGGGTGGGGCCAAATTGACCGATCAAAGTTTTACATAGGAATTTATAGGAAAAATCTGTAAAAATCTTCTCAAGAACCATTAAGACAGGAAAGATGAAACTCATGTGGAATCATCCTCAGGTAGTGTAGATTGAAGTTTGTTCAAATCGTGACCCCTGGGGGTAGGTCGGGATCAAAATGGCCGATCAAAGTTTTACATAGGAATATATTGGAAAAATCTTTTAAAATCTTCTTCTCAAGTACTTCAAAGCCATGATTAGTAATATTTATATGGAATCATCCTCAGATAGTGTAGATTCAAGTTTGTTCAAATCATGATTCCCTGGGGGTTGAAATTCAAGCCCCCCCCTCCCCTCAGTAAACTTTCAGTTCTGATCTGATGTGTGCTTTTTCCTAGTCGATGTGCTCAGGTGAGCGCTGTGGCCCCTGGGCCTCTTGTATTTACATGTTTTTAGAAAATATTTTTTAAACTAATAAACAACTTTGGAACATAATATATTTTGAGGTATCAATTTCTTGTACAGATTTATTGATTTTATCTTGTTTTATTTCAATTTGTGAGTTAGAAAAAAATGCTATAACCAAAGGTAAACGATTTTAGTTTTTCTCCTAGAACATGTTGATGTGTTTATACTCACTATTTTTTTAATTGAGTATGGAGAGAAAATTATTTGATAATGTTAGAATTATTTAAGTTATAGAAACAAATAAAGTATTACAATCGTTTGTTGATGTTATGTAAACTCATTGCGACTTATAAAATATCTAGTTGGATAGTCCTATTTTTTGTGTTTTTAAATGCCCCCTTTTCACTGCAATAAAGGCTACATCCAATTTTCTTTTCATTTTTAGCTCACATGAGCCGAAGGCTCAAGTGAGCTTTTCAGATTAAAATTTGTCCATGCCCTTATTCAAGGGGAGATAATTCAGAAATAGTGGTATGTTTTAAAAATCTTCTTCTCAGATGAAACTTATAGGGAAGCATCCTCAGGTAGTGTAGATTCAAGTTTGTTCAAATCATGACCCCCGGGGGTCATGGCGGGGCCAAAATGGGCGACCAAAGTTTTACAAAGAAATATAAAGGAAAATTCTTTAAAAATCTTCTCAAGAAAAGCAAAGGCATAATTCATCATATTTATAAGGAAGCATCCTCAGGTAGAGTAGATTCCAATTTGGTTAAATCATGACCCACGGGGGTAGGGCGGGGCCAAAATGGGCGACCAAAGTTTTACATAGAAATATATAGGAGAATTCTTTAAAAATCTTCTTCTCAAGAATGACAAAGCCATAATTCATCATATTTATATGGAAGCATCCTCAGGTAGTGTAGATTCAAATTTGTTCAAATCATGAATCATGACTCCCAAAGGTAGGGTGGGCCACAATGGCCGATCAGAGTTTTACATAGGACTATATAGGAAAAATCTTTAAAAATCTTTTTCTCAAGAACCACTGGGCCAGGAAAGATGAAACTCATTTGGAAGCATCCCCAGGTAGGTCATGACCCCCGGGGTAAGGTGGGGCCACAATGGCCTATCAAAATTTTGCATAGGGGTATATAGTGAAAATCTTTAAAAAATCTTCTTCTCAAGAACCACTGGGGCAGGAAAGATGAAACTCATGTGGAAGCATCTTCATCTAGAATAGATTCAAGTTTGTTCAGATCATGACCCCAGAGGTAGGGTAGGACTACAATAACTGATCAAAGATTTACATGGGAATGTAAAGGAAAAATCTTCTTCTCAAGAATTTTAACCAGTGGGCCAGGAAAGATGAAACTCATGTGATATCATCCTCAGATAGTGTAGATTCAAGTTTCTTCAAATCATGACCCCCTGGGTAGGATGGAACCAAAATGGCTGAATTTTTTATACATGTAGGACTAGATAGGGAAATCTTTAAAAATCTTCTCAAGTACTTCAAAGCCATGATTAGTGATATTTATTTGGAATCATTCTCAGGTAGTGTAGATTCTAGTTTGTTCAAATTATAACCCCCAGGGATAGGATGGGTACACAATGGGGGATCCAAGTTTTACATTAAAATATATATTTAAAAAAATCTTCTCAAGAATAGCAAAGCCATGATTAGTGATACTAGTATTTATATGGAAGCATTTTCGGGTAGTGTAGAATTAATTCTGTTCAAATCCTGATTTAAATTTATTCAAATCATGTCCCTTTGGGATAGAGAGGGAAACAATGGGGAATCATATTCAAATTTTTATGAAGTTATATATAGGAAGGAAATGTTTTTAAAAAATCTTTTTATCAAGAACAGCAAAGTATTATGCTGTATTATTATGAGGGCATTCTCAAATAGTATTAAATTGAAGCCCCCCCCCCCCCCCCCTTCATTAATCTTTTCAGTTCTGATCTGATTTGTGCTTTTTCCGAGCCAATTTGCTCAGGTGAGTGATGTGGCCCCTGAGCCTCTTGTTTAAAAGAGGGATGCAAAGTGCATGATATATGTGAAAAACAAAACATTTCATCATTTATTTTTTTTAAATTTGTCAATTCCTTTGTTTATTGCGGAGTTTTAAGTATGCAATTGTGTATAAAAGCATAAAAAATGGTCCATATCTTGAAAGTGCCCCCATTTGACTACAATAAAGGCAAGGTAACAAAATTTCATTCTAATTTTTCTAAGCATAATACAAACAAATTTATTTCAAAGAATTAAAATTATTCATCATTCCGTTTTTAGGTAACCTGAGTAACTCAGGTGACCTATTCGTCTGTCCGTCGTGTGTTAACATTTGAACATTTTCACTTCTTCTCTGAAACCACTGGACCAATTTCAACCAAATATGGTATACAGCATCTATGGATGAAGGGGAACATAAATTGTGAATTTCATGGTCCCTGCCCCCCAGGGGCTGGGGTTGGGGCAAAAACCACTAAAATAAGTGCAATCTTTAAAAATCATCTTCTTTAGTCCTGGACATCAAGCAGGCAAACTTTTGGCATGAATGTATTGAGCATTGAGTCCTCTACCAAAATATTGAAATTCATGGCCCCAGGGTCAGAGGTTCTAGAGCTAGGGCAGGGCTATATAGATTATATAGTGAAGATGCATTCTTTCTTTAAAAATCTTCTTCTCTGCTCCTGGGTATTAAATAATCTAACTAAGTTCATAGTTATGATGAGCAAGAGTGCCTCTTCCAAAATTGTGAATTTTATGGCCCCAGGGTCAGGGGTTCTGGTGTTAGGGTGGGGCTCTATTGATTATACAGCAAAACTCGGTTAGTACGAACACGGATATTGCAAATTTATGGATATAGCGAAGTCATCTTGGATCCCCAACTATATAAATTTAATAGATTTCTTATATGGTTATAACGAATTACGGATATAGGGAAGTGATTTCATAGGTCCCAGTGACTTTGTTATAACCGAGTTTTGCTGTATAGTAAAATGCATTTATTCTTTGAAAATCTTCTTCTCTGCTTCTGGGTATTAAATGAATTAACTAAGTACTAAGTTATGATGAGCAGGAGTGCCTCTACCAAAATTGTGAATTTTATGACCCCAGGGTCAGGGGTTCTAGTGTTAGGGCAGGGCTCTATTGATTATATAGTGAAAATACATGTATTCTTTGAAAATCTTCTTCTCTGCTCCTGGGTATTAAATATACTAACTAAGTACATAGTTATGATGAGCAAGAGTGCCTCTACCAAAATTGTGAATTTTATGGCCCCGGGGTTAGGGGTTCTGGTGTTAGGGCGGAGCTTTATTGATCATACAGTGAAAATACATTAATTCTTTGAAAATCTTTTCCTTTGCAACTGGGTTTTATGCCAATGATCCAAGTATATATATTTATGATAAAGAGAGGTGCATCTAGCAAAATGATTATTTTTTATGCCCCCCCCCCCTGGGTCGGGGGGGGGGGGGTACATAGTCTGAAAATAAATTAATGCTCTGAATTCTGCTCTTTGGTATTAATCAACCATTTTATGATAACATTTGCAAAATTTTGAAATATGTGGCCCCAGGTTCAGTGGTTCCTTTGGGGTGAGGTGCAAAACTGGTTATAAAGTGGAAGTGCAGTTTCTCTTTGTTACTCTGATCAACCTCTGGGTATTAAATGAATAGAGTTAGCATGCTAAGTTTATAATTATGATAAGCAATGGTGCCTCTTTCAAAATTGTGAATTGTGAATTTCATGGCTTCTGGTTTAAAACACGAACCAAAGTTAAATGTTTGAAAGTTGTTACACAATACTCAGGTGACCTATAAGGCCCATGGGCCTCTTGTTTGTAATTTCCAACTAGATTGGGCCTAGTTAATTGTCCATGTTGACATTTTTATCATTCATTGTGGGGAAAGCTATATTATACCTGTCATTCTTATGCTTATTTCTTAAGCTGATATTTAGATTATTGTGATTTTCTTAATGTTTTCCTGTGAATCAGTTTTGTCAGTCTGTTCGATTCAGTTACCAAAATTTCCAATGCACATCATTTTACATGCCACCAGGAAATCTCAAATCCTCTTATATAAATCTTGTTCTATTTTTAGAGGAGGAAAATCAAGCCAAAAGAACCTTATCCACCAGAAGACTTTCCAGTGTTGAGGACAGAGTGGGTCTGATCTGTAAGAATGTCCCTATTGGCTTCAACAGTGGCCAGAAACTGAGACAGCATTTCACCAAGTTTGGAGAAGTCACTCGTGTTATACCCAAGCCAGACAAAGGATTGGCAACCATTCATTTCAAAACTCATGTGAGATATGATCCTGACATTATGCTGATGTCAAGTTTTATGTTTAAAGTTTTTAAGACATTTAAGAATCTTTACTATTCATGAAAAATATTTTATAATACAGCCAAAAGAATCTAGATATCCTATTTTATTTAAGAAGATTTATATATACTGTTAATGCATCTTTTCCATTTGGTCATAATTCAGTGAAATCCCAATTTCTGTTAAATCTAATGGTCAAAAATTATGTAGAATGATTTCTCTTTTCTTTTATCTCTTAGTAAGCAAAGATGTAGTTGCAATCTATCAGTAAAAGTACAAGTTCACTGGGACAAACTTCTATGAAAAATATGGGTCCATTTACATGTAAATGTGAATTAAACATGGAAAAAATGTATCTCTACATATTGAATAGTAAGTATATGAGAACAAAACCTGTTTTATATTTGAAGGAAGCAGCTTTAGAGGCCAAGAGAAAGGGAGCAGTCATTATGAAGGGGGAGAAGACAATGCAGATATTCTGGAGTTCATTTTCTCCTGCAGCAAAGGGGCTAGGGCAAAAATCCTCAACGGAGGACGGAGGTGTCACCCAAGGTCATGTCAAAAGACAAGTTCAAGGTCAGAGTCATGGTATTAAAAGTCTACTGAGATAATTACAGTTCTCATTTAAAACCAAACATGTTCCATGTTATTAAGATTTTAAATAGAAATTGCTCAATCCTACAGCTCAGTATATTTGAAATAGTTGTCTAAGTCATAACAAACAAGAAATGGTTGATATTTATGAAATGAAAAAGCAGCCCTCAGATATTTAATTTAAATTATAAATGGTGCTTTCATGATCAAAAGTTTTGAAAGTACTGCATTTCATTTTTTTAAATTCAGTTCTATGACAGTAAAATAAAACTAATGTTAGCAACATACAATACTAGTGTAAACCACATAACAATATTCTTCTGTTTAGGTAAGCCTGGAGCTAGCCAATTTAAGTTTGAGAGGAATGAAGTAGATGAAGAACTGGCCAGTATGTCTGGTACCAACGATATCATTGGTCAGAAACAACAGATCCTGCCTCATTCTGAGGAGGTCAGAGGTCAGCAGTCACAGTCTACTGAGCAAGTCACGAGACATGCCAGTCCTGTTCAGAGTGGAACAAGTTCATCTCCAGCAATTTCCACCAAAATAGATAAAGGTATTTATAACTTCACACTACACTGTAAAGAAGCTTTCTGGCATACACAAGGATTTAAATACAGTGGACCCTCATTTATCTGGACGCTTTGGTTCCCAGTCAATTTGTCCGGATATGTGAAGCATCTGGATACCTGAATCACCAGTTAAACAAGACAAAATAACATCTAAAAATTCTGTTCCGATGAAAAATCGTCCGGATACTGAAGCATCTGGATATCTGGCGTCCAGATATCTGAAGGTCCACTGTAAATCTTTTAAATGAAGTACTGTAGATCACTAAATTTTCGCGATACCTTATTTTCGCGAGATAGTCATTGACTCTTTATAAGCGAGACATAATTTTCACGAATTGTTGCTTTTCCTCTATATAATCATAAGGAATACTTTTAAACGCGAGAATGAAATTTTCGCGACCTCATTGTCTCGCGTAATAACGCGAAAATTAAGTTCTCGCGAATAAAACAGGATTTACAGTAGTCAAACAGGATTTCAATTTTCAAATATCAATTTACCTAGAGTATTTACCAGACTGTATATAACAGACACTTTTCCCCTTGCTGTTGATGAGAGCTGATGTGCAACTTAACAGGAAACACATTATGTAATTTAAACATAGATAGTAGGGATCGAACGTCCGAGAATCGAATACTAAAATCGGTACTCGGTTACTCAGATGTATATTTCTAAATATTTCTAAGCTTATTTATTAATGCATTTAAACATTGGTTTTAAAATGACTGTTATAACCCGTGGCAGTGTTTATACAGTAATTACCGTGACCAAACACCTGATGTACCTACCTGGCTTTTCTCACCTTAGACTGTTTTCTACCCTTATGTTTAGTTTGCTTTAATTATTTTGTTTTCATTGAACATCCTTTAAGGTCCATTATATTTAAATAAATGAAATAATTTTGTCAATTCTCCAAGAAGCCGTAAATTCTCGGGGAAAGAGACAGACGATATTGCACATGCGATTGTTGATATTGATGTGTTTGATTACATCCCAATTTCAATCAAATGGTTGAAGGCAAATGCTTTAAAAATGTTATGTCCAACGTTGCTTCAAATTACAACATACTGTATTGTAATTCTATGAAATCTCGGATCAAAAGTGTATGAAGATCGTATAAATCTGCTCTGTTATAGGATAACTTGATCAAGTTTATACCGTACATGTAGCTCAGAATACTTATCACTTGGACGTCAAACGCATCAAAGAGTGACATTACAATTACGGAACAGAACTGATTATTTTTTAAACAAAAACACTGAACCATTTATGATTTTGTTTCTCATATCTATCTGATAAATAAATAGAACTAAAATGTTAGATTAAATTTCGTCGAGTACAAAGTGGTCAAAATTGTTACAAAGCATTTGCAGGTAATCTCCCATCGGTTTTATTTCTACAAGAGTTTACAATGTTTTACAGTTATCAATTAACTTGTTCCTATTTATTTACACTTTAACCGAGTACCCGGGTACTCGATCTGAAAAACTTCTGAGTAACCGAGTATTAAAAATTGACCGATTTGACATCCCTAATAGATAGACATCTGTCATTGGCACATATTATTTTATGTAAATAAATAAAGCTAGCATTTCAGCAATTAAAACAGCAGACCAGATAGAGATAGATTTTAATGACCAAGCAGACCACTAATATCCTAGCTTTGAAGTTTTGTGTCATCCATGCTATAGTATTTTATAAAGTCAGTCAGTCTCTTCAGAGGAGTGGGCAACTATTGGTTTTATAATCCCTGGTTCTTTTTCTGAATGAAAGAAAGAAAATAATTATAGCTTGTATTTTTTTAAAGTGAATTTCTATATCTATTTTTAGGTCACCTGAGTAAACTCAGGTGACCTATTGCTATCTGTTTTCGTCCGTCGTGGTGTGGTGTGCGTCGTGCGTTGTCCGTTAATATTTGAACATTTTCAGCTTCTTCTCTGCAACCACTGAACCAATTTCAACCAAATTTGGCACAAAGCATCTATGGGTGAAGGGGAACAAAAATTGTGAATTTCATGGTTCCTGGGGCCTGAGAGGTGGGACAAAAACCACTAAAATTAATGCAATCTTTAAAAATCTTCTTCTTTACTCCTGGACATCAAGCAGTCAAACTGTTTGCATGATTGTAATCAGCATTGAGTCCTCTACCAAAATTGTGAAATTCATGGCCCCAGGGTCAGGGGTTCTAGTGCTAGGGCGGGGCTAAATAAGTATATAGTGAAAATGCATTATTTCTTTGAAAATCTTCTTCTCTGCTCCTGGGTATTAAATAAACGAAGTGCATATGATGAGCAAGAGTGTGTCTACCAAAATTGTGAATTTTATGGCCCCAGGGTCAGGGGTTCTGGTGTTAGGGCAGGGCTCTATTGATTATATAGTGAAAATGCATTAATTCTTTAAAAAAATCTTCTTCTCTGCTCCTGGGTATTGAATAAACTAAGTACATAGTTATGATGTGCAAGAGTGCCTATACCAAAATTGTGAATTTTATGGCCCCAGGGTCAGGGGTTCTGGTGTTAGGGCAGGGCTCTATAGATTATATAGTGAAAATTCATGAATTCTTTGAAAATCTTCTTCTCTGCTCCTGGGTATCAAATAAACTAACTAAGTGCATAGTTATGATGAGCAAGAGTGCCTCTACCAAAATTTTGAATTTTATGGCCCCAGGGTCAGGGGTTCTGGTGTTAAGGCGGGGCTCTATAGATTATATGATAAAAATTCATGAATTCTTTGAAAATCTTCTTCTCTGCTCCTGGGTATTAAATAAACTAACTAAGTGCATAGTTATGGTGAGCAAGAGTGCCTCTACCAAAATTGTGAATTTTATGGCCCCAGGGTCAGGGGTTCTGGTGTTAGGGCAGGGCTCTATTTATTATATAGTGAAAATGCATTAATTCTTTGAAAATCTTCTTCTCTGCTCCTGGGTATTGAATAAACTAAGTACATAGTTATGATGTGCAAGAGTGCCTATACCAAAATTGTGAATTTAATGGCCCCAGGGTCAGGGGTTCTGGTGTTAGGGTGGGGCTCTATTGATTATATAATGAAAATACATGAATTCTTTGAAAAATTTCTTTTCTGCTCCTAGGAATTAAATAAACTAAGTACATAGTTATGATGAGCAAGAATACCTCTTCCAAAATTTTGATTTTATGGCCCTAGGGTCAGGGGTTCTAGTGATAGGGTGGGGCTCTATTGATTATGTAGTGAAAATACATTAAATCTTTGAAAATTTTCTTCTCTGCTCTTGGGTATTAAGCAGATGAACTACCTATGTAGTTATGATGAGCAAGGACCCTAATCTTCCAGAATTGTGAATTTCAAGGCCCCAGGGTCAGGGGTACCATGGGGGGGTGTACTTATATACTGAAACTGGATGAATTGTTTAAGATCTGCTCCTTGGTATTAATCAAATAGCCATGGTGCCATTTCAAAAATTGTGCAGTGTGTGGATCTAGGCCTAAGGGTCAGGGGTTCATGTGTGATAGGGGCATTACTGATTATTGCTGAATATTACTGATTTCTTGAAATGCATTTTTTGTTCCCCCACCCTGCCTATGGGTATTAAGTAAACAAACTAAGCAACTGCTTAGTGTATCGTTATGATGATCCAGGGTTCTCCATGAGCTGTTTTACTGTGTTCCTCCTGACACAGTAAAATTTTCTCCAACACAGTTACGATTCAAATTTAATGCTTGCGACACAGTAAAAATTTTGCCGACATAGTAAGATCTGTAATAATTAGAAAATCTAAACATAAGTTCTCTCTAACTTAGTGAGATTTTAATGAAACAATTCTACCGTCTTTCAATTCTAAATGGCGGAGCACTTAATCACTAGGGCTTCACCTTGCATAATCAATTATCTCCTAGACCCTCGCCGGACTTCACGCATGAAGGAACAAAGATAAATAATTTGTTTTCATACTTCCATGTAACGGTTAATTGGTAGTTGCATTAAAATAGATTGAAGAATTTTTTTTTTAATATTTAAATGTGTCTTGAACCATGGCTCTAGTGTAGGATTATGTTAGTACTGTAAGTGAACCATAAAATCGTGCCGAAGTCATTTCATTGATGTAAATGAACTGCTTAAGAATTTCAACATGTTCAAATAAGGAACTCTTAAAAGTATTTTACTGTTCTGAAGTTTCTTTTTTGTGCAATTTGGTAATACAATCTGGAAAACTGACTAATAATCATGGCAAATTTACTCTAAAAATGTAGAGTACTTCGATTGTTTTGACCAGAATTTGTTTTTACTTTTATCTATATGTACGACCATACCATTTGTGTAACAATTTTTTTTTTAAGTGTGTGCATATATTCTTTTGTTATTGTAATGAATTAGTTTCAGTTGCAAATTTGATCGCGAAATTACCACGAAATGTTAGTACTTCGCGTAAACTCTGCAACACAGTAACATTTTAAATGATGGAGAACTCTGATGATCAATGGTGCCCCTTTCAAAATTGTGAACGCCATAGCATCTGGCTTAAAACATGAATCAAATTAAATCACTGGAAAGTTGTTGCATAATGCTCAGGTGACCTATAAGGCCCATGGGCCTCTTGTTATGTTAAGTATGAGCAAATATCATTGAAAATTTTGTACTATTGGCATGCAGATCCACAGTGGTCCACATATGCATCATATGCATTTGTCTAGAAAATACACAAATCATACCGTATAAGTAGAAATTTTAGCAAGGATTTAATTTTGGCACTATTAGCATGGGTGCTGAGATCACTAAAATTAAAAATATCGCTAAAAAATAATTGCGTTATAGTTGTTGAGAGCATCTTAAGTGAGCATTTTAAAATCACTTAATTTGCATCTCGCTAAAATATATAATACCGATTTTTAAGGCCAGATTGCTAAATTTGCGTCTCACTAAAATAATTTCCACTTATATGGTATAACTTAGACTCATTTATTTACAGGGGCTGTCATCAGTCTGAAAAATTCTTTTGACAGAAGCAACTCGGACAAGCTTCAGATTCTTAATTTACGTGACAAAGTGAATCGTCTTGGTGAGGATACAATATTATTTTGTCTTATTTCATTTATTTATTTTTAGCTCTTCTGAGCCAAAGGCTCAAAGAGCTAATGCTATGGCCATTTGTGCGGTGTGCGTAAACTTTTTAGCTCACCTGAGCTGAAAGCTCAAGTGAGCTTTTCTGATCACATTCTGTCTGTAGTCCGTCTGTCCATCCATCCGTCCATCTGTTCGTGTGTCTGTAAACTTTTCACATTTTCGACATCTTCTCAAGAACCACTGAGCCAATTTTAATGAAACTTGCCACAAAGCATTCTTGGGTAAAGAGGGTTCAGGTTTGTTCAAATGAAGGGCCAAGTCTTCTTCCAAGGGGAGATAATTATGAATTAATGAAAAATTAATGGTATCTTTTAAAAATCTTCTTCTCCAGAACCACTGGGCCAGGAAAGATGAAACACATGTGGAAACATCCTCAGGTAGTGTAGATTCAAATTTGTTCAAATCATGAACCCCGGGGGTAAGTTGTGGCCACAATGGCCGACCAAAGTACTACATAGAAATATGTAGGAAAATTCTTTAAAAATCTTCTCCTCAAGAATAGCAAAGCCATAATTGATCATATGTATATGGAAGCATCCTCAGAGAGTGTAGATTCAAGTTTTTTCAAGAATAATTAATCAATAGTTTCTCAGGCCAAAAAAATCAAAATTCAATGTGGCAGGCAGGCTTTTTTTTTTTTTGGAAGCAGGTTTAACGCCTTTTTAAAGCCAATTCTTTCTAAAACATTTAATCTTATTATTTCAGACACTGAAAGGTTTAAAATCATCAAATCTTGTAAGTTGATGCATCATGGGACATTACAACATATTTATGAAAAAGTAGGCCACTGTGATCTACTTTTTGAATTTTGCAGGTATTTGTTTTCAAATTGTGTAAAAGGCTTTGTCAAACTTTGTCAGTAGATGCATCTTGGAACTTCGAAAAACGTCGACTAAAATGTAGGTCATGATGACCTACTTTCAACATTTTATGGGTATATTTAGGTATCTTAGGTATTTATTGGCTTAGAATCATCAAACTTTGTGAGTTGATACATCTTGGGTTTTCAGAGAATGACGTCCAAAAAGTAGGTCATCATGACCTACTTTTGACATTTTATGGCTATATTTTTAAGTATCTCAGGTATTTATTGGCTTAGAATCATCAAACTTTGTCAGTTGATGCATCTTGGGTTTTCAGGGAATGCAAACCAAAAATTTCATCACCTTGACCTACTTTTGTCATTTTATGGCTATATATATATGGCTTATTTTTGTATCTCGAGTACTGATTGACCTAGATTTGTTAAACTTTGTCAGTTGGGGCATCTTTGGTTTTCGGAGAGTGTCAACCAAAAAGTAAGTCATGATGACCTACTTTTGAATATCTCAGGTACTTACTGGCTAAGAATCATCAAACTTTGTCAGTTGATGTATCTTGGGTTTTCAAAAGTCATCTACTAAAAATTAGGTCACAGTGACCTATCTGTGACATTTTATGGCTATATTTAAGTACTTGGGTTCTTATTGGCTTCGAATCAGCAAACTTTGTCAATTGATGCGTCTTGGGTTTTCAGAGAATGTAGACAAAAAAGTAGGTCACAATGACCTACTTTTAAATATCTCAAATACTTTATTGGCTTAGAATCTTCAATCATTGTCTATTAATGTATTGTGAATCCTCATAAAACTTCAATCTTAAAGTAGGTCACTGTGAACTACTTGGGGTTTTTTATATCTTTATTAAAATATCTTCAGTCTTACTTTGCTAAGAATCATCAAACTTTGTCAGTTGATGCAACTTGGGTCTTATGATACTTAGGGTTAGAGGCTTCAAATAGAAGTGATTGTACAGTTTATCAGAAGAGCGATTCAAGGCCCTTGGGTCTCTTGTTTTTAACAAAATGAAAACCAGATTCTTATAGCTGAGTCTTTTTTAGTGACATTGCAATATACATTTGAAGCAACTGTGATTTTGATATGAGTATGCATCTTAAATGATAAGAAAATAATAATGAGATCTTTTTTATAGGACCTAAGAAGCAGTCAGACTTAGCTACAGCCCGGGCCTTTGTAGGGACATGTACAGATATGTGTCCAGAGAAAGAGAGATACGACAGAGAGGAGAAACGCAGACTTCACCCTTACGAGGTTTTACAGACCTCAAAAGGGGTGAGTGTTAATTGTCATTGGGTTTAGCTGGGTTAAATTGTTTAAGTTTTTAACACTTGATGACTGAAACTCAAGATCTCTGTAAATTCCTGGATCTTTGGAAGTAAAGGTATGGTCCCAGTTTTAATGATTACATATTACACATTATATGTTTATATACCTATTATTCATAGTACGTCCTGTTGTTTAAATAATTCCTCTTTATTGGCAGTCTGGTAATCCATTGGTGAACCATGCATTGGCTGTGAAGGAGTACAGGAAATCCTCAGCTGATCAGGTCTGATTCAGTTGTTCAGAAATTCAGCAAATCTTGGTTATAACAAAATCACTTGGTCCTAAGAAATTACTTTGCTAATAAATTGCTATACCCGTAATTTGTTATATCCATATATTTAATTAATCTTTAGATTTCCTACATTGTGCTTGATTCGGTATATTGTATTTAACAATTTATTGAATGAATGTTCAGGAGACATGAAGATTTCTTCACCTCCCCTCGAGCATTTATGATTTTTCATGGACGAAGAAATCTTCATGTCTCCCTCACTATCATGCAATAAATGTATATTATTTAAATTTTATACATGTATTAAGGTCATTCTTGTAAGGATCAGTCTATGCATGTTTACATTTCATTTCTTCTGATAGTTATAAAAATATACATTTACCTGCACACTATACACTACATTTTGCTCGTATTGGTTCAATCTCAACAAATAATGTGGGGAATAATTGACATTATTCTTGTGTATTTTCTTGTCAATTGACACATTTAAAAATTTTCAAGATATTTTTGTTAAACAGGAGGAACCGTTGCCATATGAATTGAGGACACTTCCCACACTGACCTTGACAATGTCCTACTTACTGAGTGAGATAGTTGACCGGGGTGAGGACGGCAAATGGGGGGATTGGTTTTATTTCCTTTGGAACAGGACCAAAGGAATTCGTAAGGTATGCAATTAGCAAACAGCTGAAGATAAGGCTGTAAAAGATACATATCTATTAGGGTTCTTCATTGTTGCTGGGCTTTGAAGGTCATGATGTAATTTACAATGGAGATAAGAAAATAATCAGGGAAAATTGAAACAAAAGATGAACACTACTTTCTGAATTTGAATGACATGTACTTGTATGAAGTAAAGTTCCTGTTATTAATACACATTGCAGGAGATCACTCAGCAGCAGTTCTGTAATGTGGAGAGTGTGGAACTGTTGGAGAAGTGTGTCCGTTTCCACATCTTCTGTGCGGAACGTCTCTGTGAGGAAGACATGCATTCATTTGATGACAAGGTTAACAATGAGAACATGGCCAAGTGTCTGCAGACTCTGAAGGAGAACTACTCCGATCTGGAGAAGAAACAGGTGTTCTGTGTCAATGAGCCAGAGATGAGATGTTACATGGTGCTGATGAACCTCAATGAGGGCGATATTCTCAGGTCAATATTACTTGATATTATACTTTCATGTGAATTAGTTGAATCTAATTGGTCGAGAAACATTTCTTAAAAAACACTATTACCCGCTGAATATGAAGCCACGCCCTTCAGCATAGCAACAGTCAATAGTACTTGACGACGGGTGATATTAAAAAAAAATAGCGACTGCGCAGAATTTATGCGCGCACGGTTCACTGTTGTATATATATTTGTATAATACATTTAGCAAAATATAATAAATATTGCATGTAGTTGAGTGCATCATTGAAAATTTTCACCCCTTGAAAACCATTGTCAACCTCAGCTGCGCCTCGGTTGACAATGGTTTTCTTGGGGATGAAAATTTTCAATGTTACACTCAACTACATGCAATATTTATATATATAATGTGATTTTTTCTGTCTGTACGATGATTTCCACCATCGAAAAACAATGTGATTCAGGTAACCCTATCGATAAATCTTTTACTATCACCATTAGATTCTGAATCAAAATGTGTAAATTTTAAAATATAACTATAATTGTATAACAAAGTTGTTTTATTTTTTATAAATTTATTCTACAATAAGTTACAGCCTATATTTTTTTCAATTTTGGTACATTATTACTTTTTTTGTTTCACACCCTAAAAATTTCAACAATTAAGATGGCTGATATATACGGTGCCTGGTATAGGACATGTTATAAGTTTATGCAGCCCTCAACAGTAATAACTCAGGTGACCTATTCTTCTGTCTTGTTAGAGAGGGATCCTTTCTTGTGCGTTGTGCGTTAACATTTGAACATTTTCAGCTTCTTCTCTGCAACCACTGAACCATTTTCAACCAAATTTGTCACAAAGCATCTATGGGTGAAGGGGAACAAAAATTGTAAATTTCATGATCCCTGCCCCCTGGGGCCTGAGGGGTGGGGCCAAATCCACTAAAATTAATGCAATCTTTAAAAATCTTCTTCTTTACTCCTTGACATCAAGCAGTCAAACTGTTTGTATGATTGAAACCAGCAATGAGTCCTCTACCAAAATTGTGAAATTCATGGCCCTGGGGTCAGGGGTTCTTGTGCTAGGGTGGGGCTAAATAAGTAGGTAGTGAAAATGCATTATTTCTTTAAAAATCTTCTTCTCTGCTCCTGGGTATTAAATAAACCAACTTGGTACATAGTTATGATAAGCAGGAGTGCCTCTACCAAAATTGTGAATTTTATGGCCCCAGGGTCAGGGGTTCTGGTGTTAGGGCGGGGCTCTATTGAATATATAGTGAAAATACATGAATTCTTTGAAAATCTTCTTCTCTGCTCCTGGGTATTAAATAAACTAACTAAGTACATAGTTATGATGAGCAAGAGTGCCTCTACCAAAATTGTGAATTTTGTGGCCCCAGGGTCAGGGGTTCTTGTTTAAGGGTGGGGCTCTAATGATTATATAGTGAAATGCATGATTTCTTTGAACATCTTATCCTTTGCTCTTGGTTAATATGCTTATGATCTAATTACATATTTAAGGCCAGGATTTATTTTATTTTCAGTTTTACAAACCCTGCGCTCAAGGTTTTGAATTTTCAGAAAAAAATAAAACAATTTTTTTCTTTCCGATGTCAAATTTGAGTCGGGATCGAGATTTCAAATTTACGAACTCGCACTTCCGGTTTTAAGATGAAACGGCGGGTAAGAAGATAGCTTGGTTTAGTGTAAAATTCATCGATAAGAGTGCCATTCAAAACGTTTCACCCGTTCAAAGGACAAATAAAATGCTGACGACTTTGTTGCAGAATGACATGCTGGTGAGATAATTATGTATTCGTTTCAAAAGTAACTGTCTGTAAAATATTTCCCCCCCCCCTAGGTTTTAAACTGCCCGTGGTAGCTATTGCATATTGCCAGCGACATTGTTAAGGTCTCTGTTATAGCTTACAGTCTAAGCATCATTCTTCAGAAAAGGATTGCTTATGCATCAGATGTAATGAATAAAACTATGGGAGAAGTTAAGTCCATTTGAGGAAGAAATAAACAATAACCTGAAGAAATTAAAAAAAAATTCAACTATTAAAAGGCAAGAATATACAAATATATACAGGTATGTAGTATCATTTGTATCAGCCAGTAAAATTATTTTACACTTAATTGAAAAAATGTTCACCCTACTCCCCAATACTCCCTGTCTGTTTAATGATAGGAATTATAATTTTAGGGGTCAAGTAAATTTTCGAACAATGTCTACACATTCACCTTACACATATTATAAAAATGAAGATGTATTGAAAGGCTTTTAAAGAATTGATTTTTTAAAATATATTTTGATCAACATCACAAAATTTATATAACTGGCCCAAACTGGCAGGTGATGAAATAAGCAATTAAATGTTCTACTTTCCTATTTGTAAGCATTATGTGTCCAGTGGTAAGGAGCCTATTAGGATAGCATAAAAAAAGAATGTACGAATGTTAATAATTGATTTATCAAAAAAAAATTTTATTTCCTTTTCCTTTAGGACTTTTTTATTCTCATGTCCATAACTAAACCTAAACATAAAAAAAGAAATGCTGGCCTTATAATGAAGAAAGGGGCCTCTTTCAAAATAGGTAATTTCAGGGCCGCTGGGTCAGGGGTACCAGGGGGGTACTTTGACTAAAAATAAATTAATGCTTTGAAATCTGCCCTTTGATAAGCAATGGTGCCTCTTTCAAAATTTGTGAATTGCATGGCTTTTGGATTAAAACACGAACCAAATACAATCGCTGGAAAGTTGTTACATGATACTCAGGTGACCTATAAGGCCCGTGGGCCTCTTGTTTTTTAAGAATTCGTGGCCTCGAAATAAAATTCGTGGGAACGAAATAAAAATTCTTGGCCACGAAATAAAATTCGTGGGAACGAAATAAAAATTCGTGGCCACGAAATAAAAATTCGTGGAAACAAAATAAAATTCGTGGCCACAAAATAAAATTAATTCGTGGCCACGAAATAAAAATTCATGGCCACGAAATAAAACTGGTGGCCACGAAATAGATATTTGCTATATAATGCCATGTTTAGCTTCTTCTCTCTTATGTCATTCAAGATGAACGAATTTATACATTATTATCATTCAATTGGACTGAGCCAACGGGATATTTGTGTAAGTTTGGGACATCATGGATACAGTGTTAGTGAACGACAGTTAAGACGAATTTTGAGTAGACTGAGCTTATTTAGAAGGAAAGTTTACAATGATATTGCTGATGTTGTTCAGTTTAATAACAGAGAGCTTAATACCTACGGAAATCTTCACGGATATAGGTTGATGATTTATAAGTGTCAGGAGAATGGTTTAAGAGTTCGTGAGGAGGATGTACGACTGATACTGAATGCTTTAGACCCTGATGGTAGCGAATTTAGGTAGGATACATAATTAAGAATACAATGGAATTATAATTACTGTAAAATTTATTTAAAAGTCGGACTTAAACATTTTTTAAATTTGAAAATAAATTATGCATATTTATACATAATTATATATATATATATATATATATATATATATATATATATATATAAAGCACTAAAAAACCAACAACACTGTATATCATAAATGTCGGATCTACTAAGTAGATACAAGGTCACGGATGGAAATTTATATAAAGCACTAAAATGACCAACGACACGAACAATAAAAATTGTCAAATTTTCGGGACGCCCTGTCCCTTCCTCAGGACAAAGAAAAAAGTTAAAAAGTCATAAAAACAAAGGAAAAAGAGAAACAAAAAGAACTAGCACTACTACTAAACTACTAAACACTAGATATTTACATAATTACATGTTGAATTGGAAATATTAAGAACACAAATAATGAAAGAAATCCGGACCGCTGTGAAATGCGTCCGGTCTATCGGGTATACTCGGGTGAAGTGCGATTTACATAATTGAACGAATTAATTATGCTAATTAAATACGATAATCAGCAAATCGTACATTGTTTCATTATCTCAAAATGGCTTAACTTTACTTAATAAAGAATAATCAAAGAAAAATAATATAGCAGAGATATTTAAACATATGAATCATGATCCATTATAAATTTTGAAATATTTAAAGATTTATTACCGGGAAAAAAATTGTTAAATTAATTAGCATAATTAATTCGTTCAATTATGTAAATCGCACTTCACCCGAGTATACCCGATAGACCGGACGCATTTCACAGCGGTCCGGATTTCTTTCATTATTTGTGTTCTTAATATTTCCAATTCAACATGTAATTATGTAAATATCTAGTGTTTAGTAGTTTAGTAGTAGTGCTAGTTCTTTTTGTTTCTCTTTTTCCTTTGTTTTTATGACTTTTTAACTTTTTTCTTTGTCCTGAGGACGGGACAGGGCGTCCCGAAAATTTGACATATTTTATTGCTCGTGTCGTTGGTCATTTTAGTGCTATATATATATATATATATATATATATATATATATATATATATATACTCCCTATATATATACATGTACTGCGAATCGAAGTCATGTGCTTTATCGATTTAAAGAATAACTGTCTAATTTTTCGATTTCATTGTGTGATTGATTGATTACCGTCTTATTGTATATTGTTTAACGTCCCGGTGGAGAGCTGCAAATTTTGTCCTATGCTCAGCACTCATGGCAATTGAGCAGGGAGGGATCTTTTTCGTGCCAGCACCTACTGCGACACGGAACCTCGGTTTATACGGTTTCATCCGAAGGACCGGTCTCCACGTCCCACAGTGGGATTCGAACCCGCGACGAATTTTATTTCGTGGCCACGAATTTCTTTTCGTTCCCACGAATTTTTATATCCTGGCCACGAATTTTATTCCGTTCCCACGAATTTTATTTCGTTCCCACAAATTTTTATTTCGTGGCCACGAATTAATAAAAAAAAAAAAATCTCAAACCATATCCTATACCAGCCACCGTACAGCTTTAATCCACAAGTCATTTTCTACGGGGGTCATTTTTCTTCACGTGCAGACGTGGATTCTGCTAATTTTTAGGGTGATGGCACTTTTTCTACGGGCAAAGGGGTCATTTTTCGACGTCGAATAATGGCCGGGGGTCATTTTTTGCCGTAGAATATTGAAAAATGTCGTAAAATGACCCCCGGTCATTATTCCATGGGGGTCACTATTCGTCTTTACACCGGTTCTGACGTTTTCTTGGCACGTAAAATATCAAAAATCGTGAAAAAGCCTGCAAAACGTCAGATATTTCGGACTAGCTGTACAAATACACGAGCTTGTATGACGCAAATTTTTAGGTCACCAGGGTAAACTCAGGTGACCTATTGCTATCTGTTTTCGTCCGTCGTCGTGCGTCGTGCGTTAACATTTGAACATTTTTAGCTTCTTCTCTGAAACCACTGAACCAATTTCAACCAAATTTGGCATATAGCATCTATGGGTGAAGGGAAACAAATATTGTGAATTTCATGGTCCCTGCCCCCCTGGGGCCTGGGGGTGGGGCAAAAACCACTAAAATTAGTGCAATCTTTAAAAATCTTCTTCTTTACTCCTGGGCATCAAGCAGTCAAACTGTTGGTATGATTGTAATCAGCACTGAGTCCTCTACCAAAATTGTCAAATTCATGGCCCCAGGGTCAGGGGTTCTAGTGCTAGGGCGGGGCTAAACAGGTTATATAGTGAAAATGCATTATTTCTTAGAAATTCTTCTTTTCTGCTCCTGGGCAATAAATAAACTAACCAAGTGCATTGGTAAGTTGAAAATGACCGCCTTTTCCAAAATTGTGAATTTCATGGCCCCAGGGTCAGGGGTTCAAGTGCGAGGGCGGGGCTATATAGATTATATAGTGAAAATGTATAAATTCTTTTAAATTCTTCTTTTATGTTTATGGGCATTAAATAAATTTACCAAGTGCATAGTTATGTTGAATAAAGCTGCCTCTTCCAAAATTGTGAATTTCATGGCCCCAGGTGTAGGCTACCATCATAATTTAAAGATTCGAATTGAAGAATTTAATAATTTTAAGGTAAATTACTCTTGTATTGTTTTTCATTTCAGCTCATGGATCAACTCCCAGTTCCTCTTAAAAGAAAAATTCGGAGATGGCCAGTGTGTGTGCGAGTATTCATTTACAGTGGATTAATATTAACAAGCATCCTAACTATACCAAAATTATTTCAAACGAATGTACAGACACCCGAAGAAGTTTACAATGTTGACGTCTTTCTTGAAAAAAAAGCTAGTCATTCTGTTTCTAGATCATCAATCAATTGTAAAAACGAATCTGCATTATTCCTCTTCATAGCCGTTCCCAGTCATGCTGCTAATTTTGAACAACGATTTTCAATTAGGTATTCCTGGGGAAGTGTGGCTAAATCGGATCCAGGCCTTAAACTGGCTTTCTTTGTTGGAATATCCGAAGATAGACGCATTAATGACGTTTTGTCCAAGGAAAAGGAAATTTATAATGACATCATTGAAGTTAAAATTGAGGACAAATATGAAATGTTGGCAAAAAAGTCGATAAGCATAATTGAGTGGATCCATAACAATTGTAATCATGCGAAGTATTATCTGAAAATAGACGACGATATGTTCTTAAATATCAGAAATCTGATAGATGATCTCCAACTAAGGCAACGAACTAATTCCATTATTGGATGTAAAGTGAAAGATACATCTCCTTTCAGGTTTCCATTTTCAAAATGGTACTTGTCACGTGATCAGTACAGTGCTGACACATTTCCAGATTACATCAGCGGGCCAGCTTACGTCATAACCGGTGATATTCTGTCGAAACTTTACTTTGCTACAAAAAGTGTGAAATATATTTTCTTGGAGGATGTTTTTATAAATGGAATCTGTAGGAGATACATTGATGCTGAAGCCGAGTGGCACCCTGGCTTTAGTTGTGGTTACAGAGACCAAGGGCCATGTGGGACACACTTCAAAAACAAAATTACAGGGCATCATTATTACCCCAAAGAAATAGAGAGAATGTGGAACGAGTTGAATGATAAACGATTCATTTGTCCTCTGAAACATTCGTATTGGATTTCAAGAATCGTTGATTTCTTTCATCTTTGATCTGCATAATTTACAATAAATAGATAAATGAAATATGTTATATTAGATCTCTTTATTTTTCTAGCTTCCTGAATTTCAAAAGTATTAGTCAAATAGTTATGACCTCAATATAAAACGTTCACTGTCACATCATTCTAGTATGCAATTTTTACGAGATTGTCACTGATTGACCAAGCTATATCCATTACTAAATGGGGATATGAAATGATTTTTTAATTTTTTTTTATCCCCTCGCAACGGAGATATAAGGGATATAAATAGTTTGCAGAAGGCCCAAATGAACAAGAGTTATTTCCCATTGGCTGTCATTTTGGGGGGTCAACATGCTCATTTTCCTGCATTATATAACAAACTTTAAATTTTTATGCTAAAACAATTTTTTTTTTCAGAAAAACAATTCCTTCATTTCATAAATTTTATAACATGAAGTTTTTTTCCCAAATATATCCGCTATACACTCTCAAATTTGGTAAGACAAAGCGGAAAAATTCTCAGGTTGTCCATCAAAATGGCGACCAAGGGAAATGACCCAGAGAGAAAATATGTCATTTGAAAACTATCTATAGTAACACAATCGTGTGTGTTGGTTTGTGGGTGTGTTAATACTGTGAGAAAGGAAAGCGATGTAATTTTTATCGTGGTCGATTTCGAAAGATGTTTTGATTTATAGATAATTAGAATGCTCTTTGAGAGGGGAGGTTCCATTTTGCGATGCCCTTAAAAGCTTGTTGATATAATATAAATATAATATTTCATAAATCTAGGATAATAAATTCAGTTTTAAAAGGTGTCTATTTGAAACTTCTATATACTATACTTATATATCTCCTGTATAATTTCCAGAAAAATTCTGAGACTGTAAATATAAATTTTCAAATTGAATTCGAATATAGACCTTAACTGTTAAAATTTGCTTGAGGATGTACCGACAAATATATTCTTCAGATCATTGTCTGAGTTCGAGGGCAACATGCTTTTTGTCGAATCCAAGAAGCAAAGTGTTTGCCTGAGGCCGTTAGACGGAAGGAAGACACTTTTGGTTCGAGGGTCGACAAAACGCAACTTGGCCGAGAGCATAGTAAATAATTGTTTTGTTATACCTTTCATTTTATTAATTTCTTTCTGAGATACACTGTACATGTATCTTGTATTATCTTCAGTGATGCAACCTCAGGTTCTTCACTGCTGAACACCAACGAATGCAAGAAATAAAGCTCCGCTCATTGTGTGACAGAAGCAGTCGGCAATCCTCGGCTGACTCCGCTAATCTCCATTCAAACCTCGGATAAGATAAGTGGAGGAATAGGCATCAGGTCGATACATTTTCCTCCGGAAACTGCCTTGTCACTCATTTCCTATTTCACTCTGCTGAAAGTTGTTCGAAAAGGTATTTTTATTTGTCTAAATCTTCTTGTACATGTATATTGCTTTCATTACAACTGCTAGTATATGTTATTAGCCTTTAAGAAAAAACTGTTGGGTGTGTCATCACAAAGTAACTAGGATCTCAAAAGTTTAACATATGGATAAAATTCAAATAAGATCACATGACTGAATCAGAAAGATGATAGAACACCTTTGACGTCCGAGATTATTGTGTGAGGTACATGTACGAGCCACACGAGGAGCCCCGAATGAGGTGTTTTAAACTTGATTTTAGGATAATATTTCAAACAAAATTTTAAACAAGAAGCCCATGGGCCACATAGCTCACCTGAGCACTTTGGCTAGAAAAAAAGCAAAAATCAATCTAGTTTTGAAAAGCTTAAATGCAAGTGGTCCCAACCTACTCCTACACGCAGAAGAGAGGATGATTTGAATTAACTTGAATCGACTTACTGTGGCTTTTTTCCCTATAAGTTTGAACTTTCATTTTTGTCCCACCCTATCCCCGGGGGTCATGATTTGAACAAACTTAAATCTACACTACCTGGGGATGCTTCCTTATAAATATGATCAATCATGGCTTTGTTGTTCTTGAGAAGATTTTTAATGATTTTTTCCTACATATTCCTATGTAAAACTTCGTTGTCCATTGTGGCCCACCCTGACCCCAAGGGGTCATGATTTTAATAAACTTGTATCTACACTACCTGAAAATGCTTCTGTATAAATATGATCAATCATGGTTTTGTGTTCTTGAGAAGAAGATTTTTGAAGATTTTTCTTATATATTCCTATGTAAACCTTTGGTCGTCGTCGGAAGCCCCTCCCTATCCCCGTGGGTCATGATTTTAACAAACTTGAATCTAAACTACATAATGATGCCTCCTCATGAGTTTTATCTTTCCTGGCCCAGTTGTTCTTGAGAAGAAGATTTTTTAAACATGTCACTAAATTTTCACTATTTCTCAAAAATCTCCCCTTGAATAAGGACATGGCCCTTTAGTTGAACTGACTTGAATCCCCTTAAACCATGCAAGAATGCTTTTTGGCAAGTTTGGTTGAAATTGGTCCAGTGGTTCTCCATAAAAGAATGCTTTTTGGCAAGTTTGGTTGAAATTGGTCCAGTGGTTCTGCATGGAGAAGAAGTCGAAAATGTGAAAAGTTTACAGACGGACGGACAGACAGTTAGACAGACAGATGGACTACAGACAAATTGTGATCAGAAGAGCTCACTTGAGACTTCAGCTCAGGTTAGCTAAAAAATATAGGAGGGGTCGACCCTGGATCCGCCTTTGCCGGAAGGCGAGTTATTTGCTTCAAATGTAAAATGTTAATTTAAAAGTACATGTAGCAATAGTTTTTTTTTATAAGGGTTCAATCAATTTATTCGGTGCAGCTCGAACACTACTCACATACATCCTTCCGGTAAGAACATCCGAATTATTGTGTTTTATCTTACGTGATAAAATGAAAAATTCTGTTTGTGGAGAATCATATGCATCCTTCCTTAAATTAACTTTTGTCAACTCATTGTAATCGTTATTTTCTGCACAGTACACTGTATCCTATTGTAAATTTCAAAGTTACATGTAACAAAGATATGTTTATGCAGCAAGATATTTCATTTTTATGAAATCACTTTTTGTCTAAGGGGTATAATTTTCGTCATTTTTTGTGGTATCATAAGACGTACGAATTAATGGACTTCACAAAATGTTAAACTTAAACAAGTTTCAAGCGTCATACATGTGTATCTTCAACTCAGAAATCAACGTTTTCCTCCCCTAAACCAGGAAGCTGTGACTCCAGAAATAAAATTAGTTTTTTAAATTATTTGTTTATCAAAACACTCCTTGTCTGTTGTCCACAAGATAGTACACTTCATTTGAATAACACATTTAAAGTCTGTTTTGTCCTCTTATTTAATGAGTTGCACGTTGCTTAGTGAGTAACGAGGAATATTAAAGGAAGCTTTATGAACACGATGCAGGTAACTGCAGGTAAGTCAGAGGGTTTGAAAACGAGGCAATTGGTACATTTTATTCAATTTTTATACATTTTGTGCTAAAATTTGACTTTTCTTTTGTTTAGTGAGTTTTAGGTGTACATGTTTATCCTTCATTTTGATGTGCAGGGAGATTCAAGGTTACGACAGGTAACTTTATTTGTACAGTATGTGTTAATCAATAGTTACCCTGATAAATTTATTCCTTTATTTTAGCTATAACATGTATCTGTGTCAGGTATATTTTTCCTTACTTTTTTCGCTGAAACAATCGATCGATTTCAAATGAGTTTTTTCTTTAATTTTTAGAACATTGGAAAATGAAATGATGCAGTTTTTTGAGTATATTCAGACACCTTTCACTGAAACACTAAAGATCTTGAAGGAATATTCCGACAACAGTAAAAGTTCAAAACATGTAATTACCGGGACCTGTCGCAAAAATGGTGAAATGCTTATAACCATACTTCATTTCATATCGAAACGCCATTGCTGAAAACAATCTAGTTTTACAATAAAAAGATTTATTTTTTCCAGATAATCTTTTGAATTATGTCCTTGGATACAGGCAGAATGAATCTGCATATCAGCTGAGTATAGAAGAAATCATAGGCAATAACCTGAAAATGTGTATTTATGATAAAGACAACTCCACATTCAATGATATTGTTGGGATTTGCCTGAAAAAAAGCCATATACGTAAGGTGCCAAGTGCAGCTAGTAAAAAGTTAGGCATCGACGACAGCACAGATGGACATTTATTTGACTGCAATTTGATACAAAAGATTTTACAGCCAACACTAACAACGGCTATAGGTTCCACTGTTAGGATGGAAGTTAAACGAACTCCATACTTACAGGTACAAATATAATAACTATTTTGTTAATTATTCATCCAGTTTAGCCAAAAGCTTAAAAAAGCATTTTTGATCATATTATGTGAGTTTTAACTCTATTTTTATCTACATGAACCTTAACTAACTTTTCATCCTTTCGATTTTTTTTCTCATGAAAAGCTAATATGCCTTTTGCAGCTAACCTTGTAACTATATAGAGTAAAATTTTGCAAAATGAAAAGTACATGTGCATGTTCTTTTTCAAAAGAAGACTTTTTAAAGGTAAAGGTAGCGAATGTTATTAACGGATACCGTGTAAGTTTGAAATCTTCCCACAACTTCTGAACATAAAATAACAAATCTTTTATAATGAGTGTATTATATATTAAAAGATTCGCCCTGTATACCTTGTAGGTCAAACCTCAAAATTCTTTATTTACACGATGTATATGAAAAGCTGCTTTTAGTCAGGTTAATATTTTGCATTCCATACAAAGGGATTGATATTTTGTTCAAATTATTTTCAAACGCTTAGATTTTGTACTTAATACTGAAAGTTTTAATGTTTGAATTAAAGGTGTTTCAGGAAACATTCCTGTCGTTGCAGTTTTAATTAAAAAAACACAGTACAGATATAGGATGTTTTGCATATGTATAAAGATGATTTATTTATTATTTTATTCAATATCATATAAAAATATCAAAAGTCACTTATTCCTACGACAGAGTGTTAAGAAATTAAAATCCTATAACAGTCTCACATGTCTTTGAGTTCCGATTTGCTCATGTTTAGAATTTGTTCAAAAACTTTTTTTTCTAGGATATTTTCCATCTTTGTATTTCCTTATCAAATTCATAAATACTTGTATTTCTGGGTTTCCGTTTGCATACCTTAGTGAAACGTTGTCTTTTTTTTTTTCATAAAACACATCTCATCCACATTAAAGAAAATCTTACTTCCTGATATCTTATCTTATTTATCTTATAAATACCCGTTTCACAATATGTCCTTATAACTGCATAATATATTTTGTCCACATCACTGACCAACTGAATACTCTACTTCATCAAGACGATATACAGGGGATGGGTGTCCATGTTAAAAAGGGGATGTTCTCTCCTTCTTGGCACCAGACTCTACAACTGATGTCTACAATTATATGAGTGTGCTCTGCACCAAATCCTTACAATAGTTTGAATTTTGCAGTCCAAAGCTGTTCATTGTCTTTAAATATCTTTCAAACTACTAGTTTATCATTTTTTTTTCTTCGTATACTCACACTTATGCATCTCAATTGCTCAAAAAATACTTTTGCCTTTGTAAAAGCTATGGTTTATTAAATTTTTAGATAAAATGATTTTAAATATTTTATCAACTGTAGAATTTATTTCTCCGGATTAAAAGGTTGAACACTCAAAGCATTACGGAAATCTTTTTATTTGTGGTAGAAAACAATACCAGATGGGTGGTGGTTTTTGTTCGGTTCAGCAGTGGGAATAATAGCATCGTCAACTGTTTTCTGTACTGTTTGGAAATACTCGGTCTATAAGAAAAGGTAACAGGTAGTAATTATTTGCAAATTTTAAAAAACATTCTGAATGCAAAGATAATATTCCATTAAATTTCATTATCTTTTCTTGTATGTTTAGAGGCCTTAGTAATTTTAATTAAAGTTTTGAATAAAAGAATTTCCAAAAAATAATTTTGCAGAAAAACTGAAAAACAAAGAAAACATACCAAAGAAGAAAACGCCTCTGTATATCAAGATATTGACGAGTACGAATTGATGGTAATATCAAAGTTTCAATAGTACATCTCACATACATGTTTGTATATTTGACGATATATTTTCTATTCTCTCTGTCATCATACCTCATACTGTCAGGATTACGTGTAAAGTATATCTGATAAATTAAACACACACTCTCTCTCTCTTTTAGTTTTAAAAATGTACAAATTTAATATCATTAAGCTTAAAAATTTATGAATTATGTTAGATACACATGTATCTAAATAAAAGTAATGTAAAAAACTGTTTAATAAAAGAAAATCTTTTGGCAAGACAGCTTTTTTTGAAAGCTATTCAGCTGATTGAAAGGATAAACTAGACTTAATTATCAAGTATTCGGCTACATAATCAGGAGAAAGTGAATTCATGCTCAATATTAAGCTAAGATCAAAAAGAAAAAGAATAAACCATTTTGACCAATATTTCATTTAGCCCATCTACAGAGATCCTGCAAAGAAAGAACGATTAATGGGTCCTAGACAAATCTTGCCTGGTACATACGCAATGCCCGATGACAAAATTAAAAGCTTAGGAAACAAATCAGATTCTGTTCTGAATGCAAACAAAGATGAGAATCATCAGGAAACAAAAATGACACACACCGGGCAGTCTAATGGTCATGGACTAGTCTCAGAATCAAAGGAAAATACGGAAAATAATCCATACTTTGTTTTGGCAAAAGAAACATCAGGTGTAAGGAATCCTGAAGAAACTGAGGATCAAGAGCCGGACTCCGTTATGGATGCCATCAAAGATTTCGATGTGGAGTCAGAGAAAACAAAGATGACACACACTGCCCAGTATAAAAGTAATGTGGATTTTGATGGACTCAAACAAGATCATGGAATGGCCCCAGAATCACAGAAAAATACGGAAAATAATCCTTACTTTGTTTTGGCAAAAGAAACGTCTGGCTTACGAAACCCTAAGGAAATTGAAGATCCAGATGCTAACAGTGAAACTCTTGATGAGGAAGTTGCCTTGTCTATTTCTTATAGTTGCCCAGCGGATGCCAAGAAACAATATGAAGACATTGTTAATGAGAACATTACCTCTTTGAGTGATGATTGTGATGGAAAAAACGATATTAACGACACGTACTTTGTCATTGATTCTATGGCAAGTTCAACTACTATAGATGTATAAAGAAAATAAACTTGACTTTTCGTAACACATGTATAATTTTATTTTTGAATTGTGGATCTTTTACTTTTTTATCCTATTTTAATAAGTTTATTTATAAAATTCGGAAGTCACTACGACTTTGCATTTAAAGATTTGTACAGAAACATTCTTTATAAATAAAATGTCAAATATATTTCTTTTTCAAAAAGGGTTTTTTGTACATGTCTTGTATTTCATCAAATGGCTACATTTTTACTAATCTATATTTTCCCCCAAATCACACTACCTTTTATCTAATTTTCTATTAAAACAATTTTCCTTTTCACCGTATTTTTAGAAGGATACTTATTGATAAGGCAACAATTTCATCTTCCCCCAAAAAGTCATGAATAAGTTGCTTTTCCTTCTCATTTAGTTTTTATGCAATAACAAGTTATGCATGGAATTAAAGGGAATAAACACATGGTTTTTGTAATTGAATTTCAATTACGAAAACATACTTTCACCAGTTAGACTTTTAAATTACAAATATTTTCCACAAACAATCTGTTGGACTTCAATAGACACAACTTGTGCTCCCTTTTATCGACGGTAATTTAAGAAATAACAATACTTACTTTAATTCATAAGTGAACTTAAATTTAAGACTTTACAGCATCTCCCATACGTGTTTAATGTTTGCATGTGGTGTTTATGTCTCCAAACATTTTCGAAGCGAAAAAGCTTACATATTTCCCAAGACACGCTAATACCAAATAGATTGATGTTACAAGGATTTCCCCCCCCCCCAAAAAAAAAAAATCGGTTGATGTATTTTTTCGTAATTATTATGGCTTTGTTTGTAAATTAAATGTATGGTTGTTTCTTATGTTGTCTAAAATGTTCCATACCATTTGTTAGTTACATTGTATTTGCGTTTATGCTGAGTTTGACACTGCTGTACTCCATCTACTAAATTAAGACATATACGGCTCCTGGCGGGTGTAACTGTTCAACAAAAGTTTTTTGTTCCTTCAAGTTCATGTGTTTTAAGGGAGCAGTGTTTTTTGTCTTTTCATGATTTCGTTTTATTTGCATTTTTAGATTGTTAAATTTACCTTTTATTTCTTTTTAAAATAGATATCCTAAATAAACACACTCATTAGCTTTCAAATGCTTCCAAGAATGATATTGAGATAACGAACAATCTTCAATATCAAGGTCCATAAAACAATACAAAATAGGAGCAGAGCAAACACGGACCTCTGAAACATCAGAGGTGGGATCAGGTGCCATGGAGGAGTTAGCATTCCCTGCAGACAGGTCACACTCGCCGTGTGCTTCTTGTCGTGACCGGGAAATAACAGGAAAATCCGTCGTCAATTCAGTGTATGAATAATTATGAAATAAATAACAAGTTTATAAACTTCAATGGGAATTGAAGTGGGTCGGTCACCTGATCAAATCCTGTGAAGGCTGAATGCCTTCTCAGAAGATTTGATCACGTATCGACCCACTTCAATTCCCATTGAAGTTTATAAACTTGTTATTTATTACTTATATATACATTTGAGACAGACAATTGAATATTTTCAATTTAAATTATTGCACTAACCGTCCGTCGTAGATTTTGAAAAATGACGCAAGGTGTAAATCGGCTTGCATGGCGGTTACGCTTCGAATTCATTAGGCTAAGGAATCTATTTCGAAGGGAATATTTTGTGAAAGGCTACTTGTGAGCAGTAATAGTGAACCGATTGATTTTATTCCTGAAAAATGATAATCGATGCTGAAAAGACACAAGAAACACGTCCGAAGTTTGATGATAAAAAGTTGGAGAAATTTCGGTCGCTGGAAAGGGATGGATGTATCCGATGGACTGAGACACTTGTCCGAGCCAGTTTATTTGCAATTTGATCAAAAACATTCCACGGTTTCAGTAAATAGTAAAGGCATAATTATCGTAAAGCACTGATAAACACGGAGACACTGGCGACAGCTTTACATTGAACTACGAAAACGCCGAGGTGTTTGGCAGCTGTTCATCAATGGTGCCCATTAGTATTGCAAAGATATTTTCCAACAGATTTACACGTTTATCGTGAGTAAAATTTAAAGATAAAATAAAAGTTTATCATGAAAATTTAACCAAAGGTCTATCTTAAAAATAAGGATGAACGTTAGAGACTGTGCAGCTGACAAAAGTGAAGAAAAATGTAAACAAACGCTATGCTCCTAGTTTTCTCTATGTACACAGGTTGAATCGATAGCCCAAAAACTGTATGAAATACTTGTTTACATTTAAAATAAAATAATTATCATTTTTACTTGCTTATTTTATTCATTTTTATACATGAAAAGCAAGTAGAGCAGGTCATTTTATAATTTATGTACTGGTAGATATTATTGCGCCGTGTGATTAGGTCACGTATTGACCTCTGACCTCTGACAAACTTCATACAGAATTGAAGATATTTTCTCTCTGTTTGTTTATATAATGAAGAGATACCACAAATGTATATATTGGACTATAACAATAAGTTTGAAAAATGCCAGTCAGCATTCGACTCAATGATAAACTGTATTTGCTGACAAGGTCATTGTATCGACCATAGAACTTACGACATGATGACTTTAAACGAGACTGCTGATATTCTTGTTTCATAAACTTGCTTGTCAATAATTTACCTCGTTTTAGAAAAAACTGATAAAAGCATAATGTAATAAATGTATATTTATTTTCGTTTTATAGTTAAAAGTAAACACGTGGACAATGTTAAATATTTTATTTTCAAACTATGTATACTCAACCAATCAGTCCGATCCTGAAAATAAAAACAAGAGGCCCACGGGCCTTATAGGTCACCTGAGTATCATGTAACAACTTTCCAGCGATTGTATTTGGTTCGTGTTTTAAGCCAAAAGCCATGAAATTCACAAATTTTGAAAGAGGCACCATTGCTTATCAAAGGGCAGATTTCAAAGCATTAATTTATTTTATTAGTCAAAGTACCCCCCTGGTACCCCTGACCCAGCAGCCCTGAAATTATCTATTTTGAAAGAGGCCCCTTTGTTCATTATAAGGCCAGCATTTTTTTTATATGAACATGAGAATAAAAAAGTCCCGAAGGAGAAGGAAATAAAATTTTTTTTTTGATAAATCAATTATTAACATTTGTAATACCACTGGAAACATAATGCTTACAAATAGGAAAGTAGAACATTTAATTGCTTATTTCATCATCTGTCAGTTTGGGCCAGTTATATAAATTTTGTGATGTTGATCAAAATATATTTTAAAAAATCAATTCTTTAAAAGTCTTTCAATATCTCTTCATTTTTTTAATATGTGTTAGGTGAATGTGTAGACATTGTTCTAAAATTTACTTGATGCCTAAAATTATAATTCCTATCATAAAACAGACAGGGAGTATTGGGGAGTAGGGTCAACATTTTTTCAATAAAGTGTAAAATAATTTTTCTGGCTGATACAAATGATACTACATGCCTGTATATATTTGTATATTCTTGCCTTTAAATAGTTGAATTTTTTATTTCTTCAGGTTATTGTTTATTTCTTCCTTAAATGGACTTCACTTCTCCCATAGTTTTATTCATTACATCTGATGCATAAGCAACCCTTTTCTGAAGAATGGTGCTTAGACTGTAAGCTATAACAGAGACCTAAACAATGTCCCTGGCAATATGCAATAGCTACCACGGGCAGTTTAAAACCTGGGGGAGGAAAATAATTTACAGTTACTTTTGAAACGAATACATAATTATCTCACCAGCATGTCATTGTGCAACAAAGTCGTCAGCATTTTATTTGTCCTTTGAACGGGTGAAACGTTTTGAATGGCACTCTTATCGATGAATTTTACACTAAACCAAGATATCTTCTCAGATCTAGCTATATTTACCCACCGTTTCATCGTAAAACCGGAAGTGCGAGTTCGTAAATTTGAAATCTCGATCCCGACTCAAATTTGACATCGGAAAGAAAAAAATTGTTTTATTTTTTCTGAAAATTCAAAACCTTGAGCGGAGGGTTTGTAAAACTGAAATTAAAATAAATCCTGGCCTTAAATATGTAATTAGATCATATTAAGCATATTAACCAGGAGCAAAGGATAAGATGTTCAAAGAATTCATGCATTTCACTATATAATCATTAGAGCCCCACCCTAAAACAAGAACCCCTGACCCTGGGGCCATAAAATTCACAATTTTGGTAGAGGCACTCTTGCTTATCATAACTATGTACTTAATTAGTTTATTTAATACCCAGGAGCAGAGAAGAAGATTTTCAAAGAATTCATGTATTTTCACTATATAATCAATAGAGCCCCGCCCTAACACCAGAACCCCTGACCCTGGGGCCATAAAATTCACAATTTTGGTAGAAGCACTATTACTCATCATAACTATGTACTTAGTTGGTTTATTTAATACCCAGGAGCAGAGAAGAAGATTTTCAAAGAAATAATGCATTTTCACTAACTTCTTATTTAGCCCCACCCTAGCACTAGAACCCCTGACCCCAGGGCCATGAATTTCACAATTTTGGTAGAGGACTCATTGCTGATTACAATCATGCAAACAGTTTGACTGCTTGATGTCCAGGAGGAAATTAGAATATTTTTTAAAGATTGCATTGATTTTAGTAATTTTTGCCCCACCCCTCAGGCCCCAAGGGGACAGGGATCATGAAATTCACAATTTTTGTTCCCCTTTAGCCATAGATGCTTTGTGCCAAATTTGGTTGAAATTGGTGCAGTGGTTGCAGAGAAGAAGGTGAAAATGTTCAAATGTTAACGCACGACGAACGACGCACGACGCACGACGAACGACGACGGACGAAAACAGATAGCAATAGGTCACCTGAGTTTACTCAGGTGACCTAAAAAGAGAGATGAGAGTTAAATAGAAAATAAGAAATTAAAAGTATTAAATTGAACTTTATCTCTATGCTTTTTCCTAGAAAGTTCATATAAAATTACGGTCGCCAATTTTATGTATAACGTTTTATGCATTTTTTAGTTCAATCTAATTTTGTAACGTAAAGTTCCTTCTATGTGCAAAATGATTGTGAACATACCCTAAATTATCTATCTGTGAATTTTTCATTCAGGTTTATTTAGTGTTAATACAAGTACAGGTGATTGTTGAATCTTTCTATTTGGATATAAATAGACTTACTTGAATAATGAATTCAAAACAATTCTTTTATCTTGACATTTTTTGATG